ATAATGTTCTCCAGAGTCAACCATTTTGAATAATATTGCATGAGTTCCTTGTTTTTTAATGCAGCATAGTATTCCATTGTGTGAATATACCACAGTTTCTCTAGCCATTCGTTTGTTGATGGGAGCCTTGTCCTTTTCTGTGCCAACCTCACAATCTCTGACACACTTGAGACCATAGCTGTAGTCACCATGTCATCTATCTGATTGAGGGTCTTCCTCTCCTTCACTGTCCCTCCACCCTTCACAGCATGATGCCCCTTTCCAAACAATAGCCTCTTGTAGCAAAATGTCAAAAAAGTAAGCGAGATGAAGCCTTTTCGGATTTGCCTCCAAGGAGCACTCTGTGTCCTCCTTCTCTAGGACATATCTGTTCGTCCTCTTGGCCGTCCATGGGACGTCCAGTGCTCTTCTTCAGTACCACAGCTCAGAGGCATCAATTCTTTTTCTGTCATTCTCATTCATTGGGATAGTCAGTACTCTACTCCAACACCAGAGATATCATTGTTGATGTCACATAGAGTCTGGCTGAAAGTAAGGAATATCAAAAGAATGTTATTTATGCTTTATTGACTAAGACATTCGACTGTGCGGATCATAACAAATATTGAGGAGAATGAAAAACCCAGAACACTCAATTGTGCTCATACAAAACCTATACCTGGACAAACAGGCTGTTGTACAAACGGATCAAGGGAACACTTCTTGTTGTTGTTCTTGTTGTTACATACCGCCAAGTCAAATATGATTAATAGTAACCTTATGAACAAAAGATCTGAAATTAGTTCTATCCTGTGCTGTCCTCACACTTCCTGATGAACAAGAACCTATTGTAGCAGTCACCATGTCAATCCACCTGGTTGAGGGTTTTCCTACCCTTTTCCAACCATATACCCTTCCCAGCATCATGTCCCTCTCCAAAGAATAGCCCCTCCTAGCTACATGCCCAACATGTCCAGCTCTTAGAAAATACTCAGCAAAAATAGACAAAATACTGCTGAGTATTACAAAGATTAATACAAAGATTCTTACCACTGGACGAATAGGCCACATCATGATGGGTGGAGAGGACATTAAAACTGTCAAGAGCTTCATCTTGCTTGGATCCACAATTAACACCCATAGTACCAGCAGTCAGGAAATAAGGAGATGCATTGCACTGGGAAAATCTGCAGTTAGAGGCCTCTTCAAATTATTGAAGAGTAATGATATCAGTTTGAGGACTAAGGTGTGTCTGATTTAGGCCATCATCTTTATGATGACTTGCTATGTATCTGAGAGCTGGACAATAAATAAGGATGACAGAAAAAGAATTGACGTCTTTGAATTGTGGTGTTGGAAAAGAGCATTGAGCATCCCATGGACAGCCAAGGGAACATACAGATATGTCTTGGAGAGGATGTAGCCTGAGTACTCTTTGGAGGCAAGAGTGGTGAGGCTTCGTCTCACATCCTTTAGGCATGTTGCTGGGAGGTGCTATTCCTTGAAGAGAGACATGATGCTAGGAGCTGTGGAGGGTCAGCAAAGGAGAGGAAAGCTCTCAACCAGGTGGATTAACACGGTGACTGCCTCAATGGGCTCTTGTGTGTCAGGAAGTGTGAAGACGGCACAGGATAGAACATGGTTCAGATCTATTGTCCATAGGGTCACTATGAGTTGTATTCTACTTGACAGCACCTAATAACAACAACGACAAACTCCAGCTTAATGGCTAGTCTGTATGTGTCAGCTCTGAGCTCTGCTGGAGTTTTTTTGTTTTTTCACTGTTGAACATTTTCTTTCCCCCTTCCCTCCCACCTCTCCCCATAATGCACCCCTTATTCCAGATTGTCATCCTACATATATTCCTTGCGGACAGTTCTCCCCCTCATCTAACCTAATGCAGTGTTTATTATCTATCTACTCTTTCCCTATTCTCTCACCAACCTCTCCCATGTCTGTCCTATTTTATAACAGTGGCATTATGCAGTATTTATCCTTTTGTGGCTGAGATATTTCCGTCAGCATAATGTCCTCCAGGCTCCCGCATGCTGCATAATGTTTTACAAGTTCATTGTTTTTCAAGGCTGTGTCATATTCCATTGTGTGAGTATACCATGGTTTTTCTCTCCATTCGTTTGCTGATGGGCACTTGGGTTGCTTCCATCTCTTTGCTGTTGCGAGTAACGCAGCAAGCGTGGATGTGCGTCTCTGCAGGGTTTTAATGGCAGGATGTGCTGAAGTAATTCTCTAGGCCTTTCTTTCTTCCAGAGCATCTCTGGGTGGTCTTGAACCTCCCACCCTTTTGGTTCACAAATGATTTTGTTAAATGTCTGCACCACTCAGACACCCAGGGCTTGGGTGGTGGTTGTTGTTAGGGACTATCATGTGGGTTCCAACTCATAATGTCCCCCCCACTGCCCGCTCTGTGCCCTCACAGGCACCACGTGAGCCCTCTGTTCCAGCTGCTGTGTTGATCCATCTGGTTGAGGGTCATCTTCGTTTTTGCTGACCTTCCACTTTACCATGTGCGATGTCCTCCTTAAAGGGCTAGTCCCCTTGAGTGGTGGTGTTGTTATGTGTGTGTCAAATCAGAGCTGACCCTCCAGTGGGCTTTCAGAGGCAGTAAACTGCATGGGAGGCCATTGCCTGTCTTTCTCCCATGGAACAACTGGTGGATTTGAATTGTGAGCCTTCGGGATTGCAGCTCAGATTCTCACCACCAGGCCACCAGAGCGCCCTGTTCTCTAGAGAGCTTGCTCCAAGTCTGTGAGTTGAGTGAGTGGTGGGGAATCCAGGTGGGGAGCCATTGCTTAGGGAAACACTTGGGTTCTGTTCACAGTGACCAGATAATTTGGAAACGGAGAGACGTGGTGGCCACACCACAGGACGAATGTCATCAGTGTACCTGATTTGCTTGCATGAAAAATGCTGAGCTGGCGAGTGTTCCGTTGTTTATGTGTTTACCGCACTAAAAAGGGTTCCCGAATAGCGGAAATTGTCAAAACGCTCAACTGGCAGCTGAAAGTTGGTAATCTGAACCCACTTCGAGGCCTCTCGGGGAGCTCTGGTGGAGTTAAACCAATGGCCCTGCCTCTCTATGGTTCGAATCCACCAGCTGGTCCTCAGGAGAAAGATGGCTAGTTTCCTCCCATGCAATTTACAGCCTCTAAAAACCAGCGGGAGGGCCAACTGAGAGGTGTTTCAGAATCGTTGACAATGAGTGAGAGAAGCCATGTGAATCCAGCCCAATCACAAGGCTTCTCTCACTCATTGCCATACATGTATGGATTCGCATACTGGCAATTTATTCTCTCAGGTCTAGAGGCTGGAGCCCGCCCCCAGCATCCTGGCTAGCCAATGGGAGCCATCCTCCACGGGAGGCTCCAGAGAGGGCCTTTCCTGGTCGCCTTCCGCTTTCGGTGTCCCGGGCATTCCTTGACTTGCGGCTACACTTCAGTCTCTTGCTCCTGTCTTCACACAGACATCTTCTGGCTGTGTCCCTGTCCATGTGACTCTCCTTGTCTTTTTTTTTTAATTTAGGTTATTTTTCATTTCAATGAACATCTACAGAGATTTTGGGATTCCATTCATTCATTGTTGCTTTTTATAAAGACATTAAGTCAAGTTATCCACTTGCCTCTAATAAGAATCTTTTGCACACCCATGTTGATTGTGGCTTTGTTCACAATAACAAAGAGTTGGAAACAGCCTAAGTGCCCATCAACAAACGAATGGATAGAGAAGCTGTGGTATATTCACACAATGGAATACTACGCTGCAGTGAAAAACAAGGACCTCATACAATATTATTCAAAATGGGTGACTCTGGAGAACATTATGCTGAGTGAAGTATCTCAATCACAAAAGGACAAATACTGCATGGTGCCACTGTTGTAAAACAGGACTGACATCGGGGTTGGGGGGAGACTGAAAAAGATGGGTTCAATAATGTATATTGCATTGAAACAGATGAGGGAGAAAACTGTTTAAAAGGGATATGTGATTAGGTATTTTTGTCCTGACAGGAGTCTAGAGGGAAGGCTGCATGGTAGAGTGGACCTGGGGGAGGGTTTGTAAAACAATGAAGGAATTTTTCTTTTACTTATGAGGGGAGAGGGTTGGGAGGGGAGAAAAGTGCAACAATGAATGAATAGAAATCTAAAGTCTGTAAATTTTTACTGAAATTAATAATAAATTTAAATTTTAAAAAATCTTGCTAATTTTAAAACTGTATAAGTATGTCTTTCTTTCAATAAGAGGCATACATATTTTTTCTCAAATATTAAAACCAGTGAATATGAAATAAAAAAGGAATTGCATTTAGTAAAAAAAAATCTCTGTGGGGTGCAGTTAGGCATTCAACTGCTAAACAAGAGGTTGTCAGTTCAAGTCCACCCAAAAGTGCCCAGGAAGAAAGGCCTGGTGCTCTACTTCTTGAAAAGTTGACCATTCAGAGCACAGTCCTGCTCTGTAGACTTGGAGGCATTATGAACCAGATTTGACTCCAAGACCACATGTTAGGTTTTATGTTTTCTCTACCCTGGTATGTAACCTTAATGTGTTGTATCTTCTTTCCAAATCAAGTCCCTCAGTGACTCAGTTAAACTAAAGGTCATCAGTTAAAACCCACCCAGGGGTTCCCTGGAAGAAAGGGTTGACATTCTGTGACCTTCCAAAAGGTCAAAGAAAGCCTTAGGGACAACTCAGGTTGTCACGCACTGGGATTAATTCTAAGGAAATTAAAAGAATTACCATCATGAGTACAGGGACTGGTGGTTAGTGCATGAGCATATCTCTCCAACACGTATTGCCTGGCGACTCTGAGATGAGGAAGGTGGCAGAGATGGGTGGTGGAGCAGATGATCAAGGCACAGAAGCAGGAAGTGGAGGTGATGTTGGTGCCTGAGGTCCAGCCTGCCCTGCCTCCCGCATGGACTCACCCCCTACCTCATGGCCCCCACCCACAGGGCAGCAAGGAGCGTTTCCACTGGCAGAGCCACAACGTGAAGCAGAGTGGCGTGGATGATATGGTGCTGCTGCCCCAGATCACGGAGGATGCCATCGTGAACAACCTACGCAAGCGTTTCATGGATGACTACATCTTTGCATCCTTGGTTTCAGCAGGGTGGAGACAGAAACATGAGCAGGAGAGAGGGATGGAAGGATAACAGACAAGTAACAGAAGGGTTGATGCGTAGATAGATTAGTGATGGTGTGTGGTTGGATTGAGGAATGGTTTATGAATGGATGGAGAGATGACCTGTGGATGGATGGAGAGATGGCATGGACATGGACATAGAAATGATCAGATGTGTAGATGGATGAGGAATGGCATGGCAATGGATGGACTGTTTGTTGTTGGATAAGGGATTATCTATGAATGGATGATGAAATGATGTGGGGATGGATGGAGGATGACCTATAAATGGATGGATGGATGAGATATGAATGGATGGATGGAATATGGATGGGTGGTTGGATGGATGGGTGGGTGGATGGATGGATGGATGGATGGATGGTATATGGATGGATGGATGGAATATGGATGGGTGGGTGGATGGATGGATGGTATATGGATGGATGGATGGATGGATGGATGGATGGATGGATGAGATGGATGGATGGATGGAATATGGATGGATGGATGGATGGATGGATGGATGGATGGATGGATGGATGGAATATGGATGGGTGGTTGGATGGATGGGATGGATGGATGATGGATGGATGGGAGATGGATGGATGGATGGATGGATGGATGGATGGATGGATGGATGAGATATGAATGGATGAAGGGTGATGTGGGGGTGAATGGATAGATGACATATGCAAGGATAGGAGATAACATGGAGTTAGATGAAGAGAGGCCTTTGGATGGAGCAAGGGATGGTATGTGGATGGATGGAAAGATGATGTATGGGTAGATGAGGGACAACATGGTGATAGATGAAGGCTGGCATGGGGATGGATAAAGGATGACATATGGATGGATGGATGGATGGATGGATGGATGGATGGATGGATGGATTGTCTAGGGATTGAGGAAAGGATGTCATGTGGGATGGATGGAAGGATGAGGTGTGGATGGATGAGAGGTGACATGTGAGTGGATGGATGAAGGCTAGCAGAGGAGGAGCACATGGATGCAGAGACTGATGATGGAATAAGGGGTCAGAGGAATGAGCACCGAGAGGCGACAGAGGAATGACAGCAGAGATCTGGTTGGGAGTTTCTGTGGCTCTCACTGCTTCCTCTTCTCAGGAGTAGGAGCTCAGACCAGTATATTTCCACTGACCACAGTCCAGCCCCAGCCTTGTTTCCTTCCTAAGAGGCCCAGAGCATAACGGAGGATGTTCATGTCTTTCTGTGAATAATGGGGCTCTGAAAGGCTCTAGGGGAGCAGGATGGGTGGATCCAGATCCTTGAAGGATTAGTTCTACTTGGACACCACGTGGCCCTTAACCACCGTCCCTCAGACCTACATTGGTTCTGTGCTCATCTCAGTGAATCCCTTCAAGCAGATGCCCTACTTCACTGACCGCGAGATCGACCTCTACCAGGGCGCGGTAAGGCCCCAGCTGGGTGGGGGGCAGGTCACCAGGACTCCCAGCCCCCAGCCCTGGGCTGAGCCCTGACCTCCTCTGCCAGGCCCAGTATGAGAACCCACCTCACATCTACGCCCTCACGGACAACATGTACCGGAACATGCTTATCGACTGTGAGAACCAGTGTGTCATCATCAGGTACAGGGGACCCGCCTGCACAGGCTCCATTCACATACTATCCCCGCCCAGGACACAGAGCTCAGTCTCTATCCCTCCACCTGCCCTGCCTCAGTCTTCTCCGTCCTTGGAACATTTTCACTCTGCTCCTCACCAGAACCTTCCCAAACTCCCTTTTTCTCATTTCCTTTTCTCATCACCTTATTTGTAGCTCAGTGTCTGCCCTATCCCTGCTTTACTTGTCTTGGCCCTGTCTGTAAAATGGGTCTAGTATTAGTGGTAGGGGGACAGCAAAAGAGAAGACCTCCAACCAGGTGGATTGAAACAGTGACTGCAGCAATGGGCTCAGCTATGTCAGAGAGAGAGGAAGAGGATGGCACAGGATACAACAGGGTTCAGATCTCTTGTTCATAAGGTCTTAAACTCGACTCGACAGCACCTAACAATAACAATAATGTCAAAGCCTGCCTAATTTCATAGAAGATGATGAGAATCACTACTAGTACAAAGCTGGTTGCCATGAGATGGAGGTCAGGTGTACATCCACTCTCCAACCATCAATTCTGACACCAGCCACCCCTCCCAAGGCATTCTGTCCTTCTCTGCTGGGTTCAGCTATGCACTGTGGTGGTCAGGCAGACTCACAGAACATTCTTAAATGGTTTCTTAAGGAACAGGCTACAACTCGGGCTCAGAAGCCACACATCAGGGTCCTCTGGGTTCAGCTGTCCTTCAATGCTGGGAAGCTCTCACAGCCCCATCAGAATAGGCTCCTCTCGACCCTTCCTTCCATCTGTCACCTGTGGCCTCTCCCACACCTTTGAGGTCTTCAGTGTTACAGCCCTTGATGTGTATTAAAATTCTTTTAGGAGACCCTTTTCCTCTCCCCTTTCCCTTCTCCTCTCTCTTTACACCCTTTCCTCTTCGTTCACTTTCTACTTTCTACAAATTATCTTCCAGCTTCTCTGTGGAGCTGCTTAAATATACCAACTCATGTCAAGGTATGGCATGCCGACTGGGGCCAGGATGTAGCCAATCCCCTCTCAGTAGGCCATAGCTACTTCATTTGCATAGTGTGCACTGCGAGGCTACAACTCACCTCACTCGTATAGTCTATTGACCAATCTTGCAAGATCAATCATAGAGCGAGCAGGCTACAGCCCAAGACAAAATAGATGGTATTAAACCAAGGTTAGTTACAATTTGCCCATAAATTATCAATCAACCCAATAAAAATAAGACCGCTTGGAGTAGAAAATTGTGGCAACGGTAATTGTTCAGGGCTTATAGGGGAAATCTCTCATGCTGTTTTTCCAAGGAATCAAAGCAAAAAGGCTACATAAAGGTAATGATTTCACTGCATCATCTGACCCATGATGTATTTATTCTTCCTCTCTGGTGGGTGTAAATGGTTAAATACTTGGATGCTAGCCAAAAGATTGTCAGTTCAAGTCTACCCAGAAGCACCTTGGAAGAAAGGCCTGGTGAACTACTCCTGAAGAATCAGCCACTCCAAACTCTGTGGAGTCCAGTTCTACTCTGACACACATGGGAAGGCCTTGAGTTCGAGCTGACTCAGTGGAAATTGGTTCTTATTGGCCCTCAGTCTTCCTAAACGTCAGCTCTCTGGGGACGGGGATTTCCATCTACTTTGTCATTGTTGTATCTCTATTATTGTATCTTCCATCTTCTCCGTGGAGCTGCTTAAATATACCAAGTCATGTCAAGGTATGGCACGCCCATTGGGGCCAGGATATAGCATACAGTAAGTGCTAAATGAATGAATTATACTACAAAAATGTGGCCCTCTGGCATACAGTAAATGCTAAATGAATTAATTACAATTCAGAAATGTGGCCCTTTGCCTTATTCCTCCCACTCTCTGGTCTCTTCTTCCCCCTTCCCCCACCCCCCACCCCCAGCGGAGAGAGTGGAGCTGGGAAGACAGTGGCAGCCAAATACATCATGGGTTACATCTCCAAGGTGTCTGGTGGAGGCGAGAAGGTCCAGGTGAGACGAGGACAGTTGAGTCTTCCCTCTCCAGGTTGGTTTACCTTCCAGCTGCCTGCCCTAGGCTGACTTCTTCCTCTCCTGGTTTGACCCCACCCCCAGCATGTCAAGGATATCATCCTGCAGTCCAACCCGTTGCTGGAGGCCTTCGGCAATGCCAAGACCGTGCGCAACAACAACTCCAGTCGCTTTGTGAGTCTTTGGGGCAGGCACTCACTCCACGATGACCTTCACTCCCCTTCCCAACCTGCAAGAATGCCCCTTCATTCCCATTACGAGAGCGCCATTGGAACCTGACAGGAAACAACTGCTCCTGCCTGGGAGACTCAATTCCTGTCTACGGTCCTTCCGAAAAAGTGCCCCCTTTTGGTGGCAATGAGAATATTATTACACTTCTGTGTAACCCTTAAACACTCCGACACCACAACTGTTTCTAGGAGCACACTTCAGGGCCAGTTTACAATTCTTCTTGGTTTTCGTAGTCTGGAAGTTCTGCTGAAACTTCCTATCAGAAACTTAAAAGCTACAACTGACAGAGAACGATAATTGCACTGGTCAGGATAATTGCAGTAGTCAGGACTTGAACCTGGGTCTCCTGCAAGAAAAGCAAGAATTTGCCCACTGAATTACTATTGCTCCTCCATTCCCCCAATCAAATTGTGGTAAAATGGAATTTAGGAATAAACTGAGGTCATATGGTGGAGAAATGAAGAATGTCCAGCTCCATATGACCCTGTCTACAGTCCCACTCCTTCTCCACCTGCATGCACCCTTGGGACCCTCGAGGGCTGACATGGCTCTCTCCATCTCAGGGAAAGTACTTTGAGATTCAGTTCAGCCGAGGAGGAGAGCCAGATGGAGGCAAGATCTCTAACTTCCTGCTGGAGAAGTCTCGCGTGGTGTCCCAGAACGAAAATGAGAGGAACTTCCACATCTACTACCAGGTGAAGGGAGGGGGGGGGTGCCCTGAGCCTGGAGTAGAGGAAGGCCCATCTGAAGGGGAAAATGGTAGTGTCTTGGAGGCCCCATATACCTGGGAGATGCACCACCATTACCATCCTTCAGCTGCTGGAAGGGGCCTCCCAGGAGCAGCGGCAGAACCTGGGGCTCATGACCCCCGACTACTATTACTACCTCAACCAATCAGACACCTACAAGGTGGATGGCACTGATGACAGAAGCGACTTCAGTGAGACGCTGGTGAGGATAGGCCACTGTTCCAACCCCCATGCCCCTCGTGTCACAAATAGGAAACCAAGGCCCAGAGCGGGGTAGGGGGTCACACAGCACACGGGTAAAGAGGCAGGACAAGAGCCCAGGAAGCCTGACTTGTGGCCAGAGGAGGTCAGGACTCCAGGCTCAGGCTCTGCTCCGTTTGTCCGCAGAGCGCCATGCAGATAATTGGGATCCCCCCGAACATCCAGCAGCAGGTCGTGCAGCTCGTGGCTGGAATCCTTCACCTGGGGAACATCAGCTTCTGTGAAGAGGGAAACTATGCGCGTGTGGAGAGTGTGGACCGTGAGTGCAAAAGCTGAGGGGGCCTGGAGGTGAGGAGTGGGTGGAGACTGTAGTGAACATGTGCAAATATGTGTGAGCATAGGAGTTGGTCTGCGAGAAGTGGGGGCTTCAGGAGGTTCCGGGAGAGGGATGGCTTGTGCACGGAAAGACTAGTGGCCATGTGTGTCTGAAGGAGCGCACATTTGTAAGAATGTATGTGTGTGTGTCCCCCACACACTGGCAGTCCTGGCCTTTCCTGCCTATCTGCTGGGCATAGACAGCGGGCGGCTGCAAGAGAAGCTCACCAGTCGAAAGATGGACAGCCGCTGGGGTGGACGCAGCGAGTCGATTGATGTTACCCTGAACGTGGAGCAGGCTGCCTACACTCGCGATGCCCTAGCCAAGGGGCTGTATGCACGCCTTTTTGACTTCCTGGTGGAGGTGAGTGGGAAAGGCTGCGGCTGGGGTGAGGCAGGAAGAGGATGGGATGGGCGGGGCAAGGAATATGGGCGGGGCTGTGGGTGTGGCTCTGAGCGGGGAAGGTGGGTGGAGCAAGGAGGTGGGCATGGTTGTGGGTGTGGCTTGGCAGTAAAGGGGTGGGGCTGTGGGTGGGATGGGGCGGGGCAAGGGAATCTGAGCAGGATTGTGTGACTGAGCAGGGGAGATTGGGGGGCATGTGGGTGGGGCGGGACAAGGAGATGGGCATGGTTGTGGGTGTGGCTTTGGCAGGGGAGGTGGGTGGGGCTGTGGGTGGGGCAGGAGCAGTGGGTGGGGCTGTTGATGGGGCACAGGAGGTACTAGAGGTGCTGTGTGGATTGTGGGCGGGGTGGGCGTGGGACAAGTACAAGATTTCTTGTCTACCTCACAGTGCTGGAGATTTGAAATTAGCAGCAGGACACCTACTCTAGGGAAGATTCACTTCTTGGTGGTCCCAGGTTTTGCTTGGGTCTTTGCTGTTCCTTAGCTTGTTGTTTGACATGGTCTCTGCCTCTGCATGTCTGTGCCTATAAGGTTCTTTTTACAAGACCTCCCAGAAGAGTTTACTTTTGGGATCCACCCTACTCCAGTTTGGCCTCAAACATTCCAAATCTGTCTCTGTTCACAAACTGGGTCATGTTCACAGATAGAGAGATTCGGACTTCAGCCTACCACTGTTATTGTTATTGTTGTTGTTGTTAGGTGGCATCAAGTCAACAGTGACTCATAGCGTCCCTGTGAACAACAGATCTGAACCCTGTCCTATTCTGTGCCATCCTCACCATCTGACACACTTGAGTCCATTGCTGCAGTCACAGTGTCAGTCCATCTCATTGAGAGTCTTCCTCTCTTTTGCTGACCCTCCACCATTCCAAGCACGATATCCCTTTCTAAGGAGCAGCCTCTCCTAGCAACATGCCCAAAGCATGAGAGATTAACTGTCTCCATCTTTGCCTCCCCGGAGCACACTGGCTGCACTTTTTCTAAGACGCATCTGTTGTTCTTTTGGCAGTCCATGAGGTGGTCAGTGCTCTCCTCCAACACCACCACTAACATGCACGGAGCGTGCCAACGCCTGCCGAGCTGTGGGCTGGGACTGAAGCCTGGTCCCATGGGAGGCAGGCTTGGTTATGATGGCCTCTTGCTTCTGAACAGGGAAGACTTTAAGCAGAGGTTGGGGATGATCAGGTGCAAGCATCAGAGGTTCCTTCTGGCTGGGACTCAGAGCACAAGGCAGGCAGATACTGGAGCATCTAGGGACTGGCGTTGTAGAAGGTGGATGACTTGAGAGAGCCAAGGTGGCTGTCAGGGTCTGGGGTTATAGGCTGAGCAACAGGGTATGAAGGCCCAGAACAGTTAACAATCATAGCAAACATTAACAGAGCACTTGTGTGTGTTGGACACTCCTATACGGGTTTTGTATCCCACAGTTTCCTTAACTCTCAAAAACAAAAACCAAACAAACAAAAACTCTCAGGTAGTTGCTAGTATTAACCCATTTGAAAAATGAGAGAACAGAGACACAGAGATGTTAAGTGACTTGCTTGAGGTCACACAGCCAGCAAGTGGTATTCTGACACCTGGGTGTCTGACATGGATGATGGAGGGGGCTGTGTATGGGTTTCCTACAGCTGCTGTAACAAAGCACTACATATTGGGTGGCCCACAGGACAGACAAGCATTGACTCTGTTCTGGAGATCTGAATTTGGGGTGTTGACGGGCCATGCTTCCCTCAAAAGGCACTCAGGGAAGAGCCTTCCTTGACTCTTCCATCTCTGGTGACCCCTGGCGGTCCTGAACTTGCAGCTGCAGCATCACCACCCCTGCCTCATCATCACATGGCATCCTCCTCTGTGTCTCCCCTTCTCTGGGGCTCTTCTCTTCTTGTGAGGATATCACTCATATAGGATTAGATCCTGCCCTTCCAGTTACTCGTGTAACTGAGGAGAAAGAACCACCAATACCTATTTCCAAGCAAGGTCACATTCACAGGTACAGGCATACACTTCCAACATACCTTTTTAGGGGACAATACAACCTGTATGTCATGGGAAGTGTGTGCTGAGAGCAGAATGCACTGATGATGGAATCATTACCTACTTGGCTACTAGCTGGAAGATTAGCAGTTCTGACCCCGTGGTGAACTGCACCAATAAAGATTTCAGCCAGTGTGTACGAGTGAGCAAGTGGAAACCCAGTAGGATTTGCAGATTTTCACTTAAACAAGAGATTAGAGCCAAGAAAGCCATGGGGGGAGGGGCTGTTCCGCTCTGTCGCATGGGGTTGCGATGAGTTGAGATTGACTCACCAACACTTCACACTAGGGAGCTCTGCTGGAGTAGTCAGTAGGGAGCCAACCTGCTTAACTCAAGGGTGGTTCGAATCTAGGAGTAGCTCCGAGGGAGAATCTGGGTGGTCTCCTGTGTGATTGACTGAAAACCCTCTGGAGGCTCAGCTATGAGTCGGTTCTGACTCAGAGCAATGAGGTTTGACTAACTAAAAAGTGGACAGTTCAAACCCACCCAGAGGCATGTGGAAGAAAGGCCTGGCAATCGATGTATGTAAGATTATAGCCATTGAAACCCTATTGGACAGTTATGCTTGGCCACATAGTTACTATAAGTTACTGTAAGTCAGAATCAACCCATCAGCAACAGCAGCACACACAGAGCTGAGAAAGGCGGGAGAGAAACCACTTTGAAGGGACATAGTGTGTGACATGGGCTAGGGGTGGACCTCACTGGGGCCCTGCTGTCCCACTCTTGTCTCAGGCCATCAACCGTGCCATGCAGAAGCCCCAGGAGGAGTACAGCATTGGTGTGCTTGACATCTACGGTTTCGAGATCTTCCAGGTACAGCCCCCGCCCGGCCACCCTCTCCCATCCTCCCTGGGTCCCCCTCCCAGGCAGACCTCCAGCATCAGTGCACTGAGGGATGCATCTTCCCTTCCCTAAACAGAAAAACGGCTTCGAGCAGTTCTGCATCAACTTCGTCAACGAGAAGCTGCAGCAGATCTTCATCGAGCTCACTCTGAAGGCCGAGCAGGTGGGCGGGACCACGAGGCGGCCGCCCAGCTTGAGTGTCCTCGGCCCCCCTCCCATTCCTGACTTACCTGTCCATGTTCCCTGAGATTATCTTCAGGAGAGGCGTTCTGCCTCCACAGAGCTGACAGAGCTGGGTTCTCGGTTGAGTGTTACTTAGTGGAATGAGCCCAGCTGGCGAGGAGCTAAGCAAAGGTCTGCAATTCAATGAACCAAAGATTACCACTTAGGGAACCCTGTTGGGCAACACTGCCCTGTCCTCGGGTCCCTGTGAGTTGGAATAGACTCGATGGCATCCATTAATAACCTGATTTCATGAGCCGGACCCCTGTGTGGGAGCCCCTGGATGGCACAAAGAGTTAAACCCTCAACTACTAACCAAAAGTATGGTGGTTTGAAACCAGCCAAACATGTCACACAAGAAAGACCTGGCAACCACTGCTGAAAGGTCACAGCCCTGAAAACCTTGTGGAGTGCAGTTCTTACTCCAGAACCTCGCGGGAGGTCAGGCAACTGGGATCTTTTTATTATTATTTTATTACTTTGTGCGTGTGTACTGTCATATCAGATCTGACTGGTACAGGAGGAGGTTGCCCCTCCTTCTCCAGCAGAGCATCTGGTGGATTCGAACCGCATACCTCTGGGATTGCAGTGCAGCTTCTTGCCACTAGAGCTCCCTGCAACTGGGCTTTTTTAAGAAAAGCATCCCCAGGCGATGCAGAGAGTTTATACTCCACTCCTAACCTGAAGGGAGCTCTAGTGGGCGAGCGTCAAGAGCAGCCCTGAAATCCTGAAGGCATGTGGTTTGAAACTACCAGCTGCTCTGCAGGAGAAGAATGGGCAGTCTCCTCCCATGCATTTAACTGCCTCTGAAAACCCACTGGAGGGAGGGTCAGCTATGTGTGTGTCGGTTCTCACTTGATGGTACTCAATAACAACTTGCCTAAAAGGTGGTGTTCCAAACCACCCAGTGGCTGCTGGGAAGAAAGGCCCTGGGGTCTGCTTCTAGAAGCTTACTGTCTTGATAGTTCTACAGAGCGGCTCTACACGGAGGCCGTCATGAGTCAGAAAAGACAGCAGGTGGTGGTTATTGTTGTTGTGTACTGTGGAGTTAGAGAGTAAGTTGTGGTTGTTATTTTGTGCCGCTGAGTCAGAACTGACCCATAACTGGCCCTCCAGTTGGTTTTCAGAGGCAGTGAATTACACAGGAGGAGATTGCCCATTTTTCTCCTGCTGAGCAACTGGTGGATTCGAACCATCTACCTCTGCGTTGGCAGCACCATTCCTTGCCACTAAGCCACCAGAGCTCCCTACTTGACAGCATTAAGTTTGGGGTTTTGATATTTAGTGAGTGCTCTCTGACTGGGGTAATAGGAGTTGGGTGTGTCAGAGATAATGTACATAGGGTCGCTATGAGTCGCAAACAACTGACAGCACATAACAACAACATTGTCTGGCGCTGTTTTAGGTGCCAGGGTTATAACTATGGAAAAGATAACAGTATCTTCTGCTGGGGAATGGTCCCCGGAAGGGCTAGTAGGGGAGTGAGGAAATGAGGCATGGACAAGAAGGAGCCCAAAGGGGCTTGTTGGAGAGCAGGTTATACTATGGGTGTCTGCACCTCGATTCAGTGGGCACTGCTGGGACTGCATACTGCACATCCCAGGGCTGTCCCAGCAGAGAGCGAGGAGCTGGGGCACTGAGCCACCCGCTCCTGCCTGCATTGGGTGAGAGCAACCAGGGATAAGTATGTTTCCCCTGACACACCTGGCCTGCCCCCCACCCCCAGGGCCACTCCACTTAACTACCATGGACAAGTGAGGAGGTGTGGATGAGACACCACCTTATAGAACCTGTATTCTAGACACATACATACACCTTTGCCAGGACATCGACCCTCTCCTGTCCCCCTTTCCTGCCCTCCAGGAGGAGTATGTACAGGAAGGCATCCACTGGACCCCCATCCAGTACTTCAACAACAAAGTCGTCTGCGACCTCATCGAGAACAAGCTGGTGAGGCCCTGGCCAATTTCGGGATCCCCTGCGTCCCTGAGTCAGGCAGGGCTGACTGGATCATGCGCTGTGGGTTTGTGGCTCCCGCTGACCCTTCTCTAGACACTGCTCATATGGTCAACACTCGCTCAGTCATTCAGCAAACATTCCTCTGAGGTTGTTCAGGGCATAGGAATCAGCGCTGCAGGCCTCCTAGAAAGAGAGGGGGAAAGGCATGGGCTTCTCCAGGGCTGCCTGCACCCCCATGGTCCCTGCTCTACGCCCCAGCAAGCTTCTATAGCACCCCCCCTCACATACTGACACCCCACCATCACCACCTTTTGCTCCCAGAAAGTGGCCCCCGAATTCTAACCCTCCCCCTTCCTCCACCCACACCCCAGTCATCATTCTCCTCCCTCCTCCTGCTGCTGCCCCTCCACACTCCTCTCCCTAATTCTCATCCCCAGCCGCTTCTTTCCCTGGACCCACCCCTCCTTTCCCTGCAAGGTCACGCAATCATTCTCACCCCACCTTCTCTTTCCTCTTCCCCTGGCCACACCCTCTGTATGGCCGCGCCCCTCAGCCTGGCCAAGCCCCATAGCCTGGCCACACCCTCTGTGTGACTGCTGCTCCCCTTAGTCTGGCCACACAGTCTGTGTGGCCACGCTCTCTGTGTGGCCACGCCCTCTGTGCGATCACGCCCCTCTGTCTGGTCACGCCCTCCGTGTAACCACGCCCTTCTGCCTGGCCACTCCTTCTGTGTGGCCCTGCCCCTGAGTGTGGCCACGCCCCTCAGCCTGGCCATGCTCTCTGTGGCCAAACCCCTCAGCCTGACCAAGCCCATCTTCCACAGAACCCACCGGGCATCATGAGCGTGCTGGACGACGTGTGTGCCACCATGCACGCCACAGGGGGTGGCGCCGACCAGACGCTGCTGCAGAAACTGCAGGCGGCCGTGGGCACCCACGAGCACTTCAACAGCTGGAGCTCCGGCTTCGTCATCCATCACTATGCCGGCAAGGTGCCTGAACCCTGCCCAACTGACACCTCCTCTCAGCCCACCAGGACCCCAGCCCACGTTGCAACACCCCCTCCCAGCACTACCCCCTAACAGAAGGGTGGAGCGCCACTGACCCTAGGGTCGAGGCCATCGCTATACCGCTACTGACCAGAAACCCAGAGATCCTGATCACCCACCCAAATCCCTTGTTCACCCTGACCTAGCCATAAAACACCTCGTGTGCTCAGCCAGGATGCTGAACCGCAGAAGCTCCCGATCAAACCCACAGCTCCCCAGCTAACAGTACAACCCCCACCAAAACCCTCCATTCACCACAAGGACATGAGGCCACCAGAGCCAAGTCTAGGCTGCAGACCTCTTAAACCCCAGTTGGAGTTGTAACCTCAGTTAACCCAGGACACAACTGCCACTTCTGACCCCATTTTTGAAGGCAAAACTCAGAGAGACCAGATTCTGGAAAACATCCTCTGAAATAGGCTGAAGCCCCACAGGTCCTGCCCAAAGCTGAGAAATCCACTGGCCTCAGACCCTAGACACACCTACAGGGGCCAGCAGACATTAGCTAATCTCAACATGGACATCAAGCACCCCTAGACACCTGTCTCTGTGGCAGCCCTCCTAAAAGTAGACAGGAACTGCAAGTTCCGTCAACCAAGCTATAGTCTCCCCTGTGGGCAGCACATATAACCCTAGTTCCCATGGACCCCTCCCCAGTCTTGTAGCCCCCTGGCACTGCCCTAGCCCCCTGCAGTGGCCCTAAACAGACACCGTTCCAATGTAACCTCTGACTCTTGCCTGGGCCTCAGCCTCACCCTTTGATTCAGGCTACCCCATTTCTTGGGCTGTAACCTCCTACTTCTGACCCAAACTGTAGCCCCCCCCCCAACTTCTACTTAGGTATCAACCCTTCAGGATGCCCAAAGGATCCTCACTGCAGCCTCCCCTCCCATTTTGAACCACAGATTTCTCCCCCTCCCCAACTAGAGTTTTAGAAACACCCAATCCTTTCACCCCAGAGCAGGCCCCTGAGATCTCAGCTTCAGCCCCTCACCTGCCCTGATGTCCTGTCTCCTCAGGTCTCTTATGACGTCAATGGCTTCTGCGAGAGGAACCGGGATGTCCTCTTCTCTGACCTCATAGAGCTGATGCAGACCAGTGAGCAGTGAGTGGTCCCAGGCGTGGGGCCTCTGGCAGAACCCCCTTAGGGACCGGGGCCTGAGACCATCACATCTTCCCTAGAGCTCTTGTCATGCCCTGGGCTTTGTGAGAGGGGCTATGTGTTCTCAGAGACAGATTTTGATGAAGTCCCTGGGTGGTGTGAATGGAATACATTGATTACTTCATTAAAAAGCAGGGGGCCTGGTAGCACAGTGATTAAAAGCTTGGCTGTTAATGGAAAGGTTATCGGTTTGAACCCATTGGCCCTTCTGTGATAGAAGGATACAGCAGAGTGCTTCTGTAAAGATCCCCCAAACCCACTATTATGGATAGGATACCAACTCATAGTAACCACATAGGCCAGCAGAGAACTGCCTCACAGGATCTCCAGAGCTGAAATATTTGTGAACACCAACTGCCCCATTCTTCTTCTCTTGGATTAGCTGGTGGGTTTAAATCAGCTAGCTTTCAGTTAGCAATCAAGTGCTCTAACCATTGGGATGTTGGGCCTCCTTCTGCAAAGATTACGACCTTGAGAGCCCAAAGAGACTGTTCTGCTAGGAGTCAAATCTATTCCACAGTTAATGAGTTTGGCTCTTTGGTTTTGTTGATATTATTCATAGGGTTTCTGGGCCAAAAGGATCAGGAGGTTATTTATGAAGCTCAAAGATTGTAGTTTCAGTGCACTGAAACACAGAGAAAACAAAAATCCTTAACAACTGGACCAATAAACAACATCATGATCAATGATGGCTGAACATGTCAAAGACCCCTTTTACAAGGATCCAAAATCAACTTCCATGGGAGTAGCAGCCAAAAAAATCAAAGAGCATACTGCACTGGGAAAATCTGCTGCCAAGGACCCTTTGAAAGTGTGAAAGAGCAAGGATGTAACTCTAAAGAGTAAGGTGCAGCTGCTCCAACCCTTGGTATTTTCAGTTGCTTCATATGCATGTGAAAGTTGGACAATAAATAAGGAAGACTAAAGAATTGATACCTTTGAGTTGTGATGCTGGAAAAAGACTGCTGAATATGCTGTGGATTGCCAAAAAAAACAAATCCAAAGGAAGCTCTGGTGGCCAAGTGTCAAGAAGCTTCACTGCAGTCCCAAAGGCGTGTGGTTCTAATCCACCAGATGTTCTGTTGGAGAAGGAGGGGCAGTCTTCTCCTGTGGCAGTCGGATCCAACTTGACAGTACACAGCAAGAAAGAAAAAATCTGTCTTGGAAGAAGTTTGCCCTGACTGTTCCTTGGAAGCAATAATGATGAGACTTCATCTCACACACTTCGGACATGTTCTCAGAAGAGGCCAGTCCCTGGAGAAAGACACTCTGCTTGGAAAAGGGGAGAATCAGCAAAAAAAGAGCATCAACAAACTAGACTGCCACAGCAGCTTCAACAGTGGCCTCGAACACGCGATTCTTGATTGTGAGGATGGTGTGGGATGGAACGGTGTTCTGTTCGATCTCACACATGGTCACTTGACTTGGAACTGACTTGCCAGGACCTAACAACAATACATGCATCCTCTCCTTTCCCAGGTCATTCGGGAGGCTGGACTTTATGAAGAAGAATATGGCATCAGGACTGGAGGAACACTCATCAACAACTTGAATCATGCAGATGGCACAACTTTGCTCGCCGAAACTGAGGAGGATTTGACGCATTTGCTGCAGAAGACTGCAGTCTTCAATATGGATTGCATCTCAACATCAAGAAAACAGAGATCCTCACCACTGAGCCAATTGACAATATCATAATAAATGGAGAAGAGATTGAGGTTGTTAACAATTTCATCTTGCTAGGAACCACAATCAACACTCTTGGCACCAGCAGTCAAGAAATCAAAAGACAGATTGCGTTGGGGAAAATCTGTTGTCAGGGACCTCCCCAGAGTATTAAAGAGCAATGATATCAATATAGAGACTAAGGTGCCCCTGATTCAGGTCATGGTCTTCTTAGTTGCTTTCTATGCATCTGAGAGCTGGACAATGACTGAGGTTGACAGAAGAATTGATGCCTTCGAGCTGTGGTGTGGAGAAGAGTATTGAGTATACCATGGACTACCAAGAGAACAAACAGGTCTGTCCTGGAGAGGGTCAAATCAGGTTACTCCTTGGAGGCAAGGACTTTAAAACTCATTCTCAAATAATTTGGGCATATTGCCAGGAAGGACTAGTCCTTGGAGAAGGACATCATGATTGGAAGGGTAGAAGGTCAGCACAGGAGAGGAAGACCCCAGATAAGATGAACTGACACAGTGACTGTGGCAATGTGGTCAGGCGTGTCAGAGACGGTGAGTTTGGCTCAGGATGGGACAAGATTTAAAAAAAAAGGTGATCCAACAGAATGTGGAAATTAGCAAATAATATCATTAATATCACATGCACGTAAAACCTTGCTGAAGATTCTTTTTAAATGACTTGGACCATACATTAACAGAGTACTGCCAGAAATTCAAATTGGATTCAGAAAAGGCTATGGAGTAAGGTATATCATTGCTGATGTCAGCTGGATCTTGGTTGAAAGCAGAGAATACTAGAAAGATGTTTATCTGTGTTTTATTGATTAGTCAAAGGCATTTGAATATGTAGATCATAACAATTTATGGTTAGCCTTGCTAAGGAATCCCAAAACACTTAATTGTGCTCCTGCAAAATGTATACATGGACCAAGAAGCAGTGGGGGACACTGCATGGTTTAAAATCAGGAAAAGTGTATCAGGGTTGTATCCTATCTCTACCTGTATGCTGAGCAAATAATTTGAGAAATATGAAGAAGAATGTGGCATCAGGATTGGAGGAAGACTCATTAACAACCTTTGTTATGCAGATGGCACAACCTTGCTTAAAGAAAGTGAAGACGACTTGAAGTACTTACTGAAGAAGATTAAAGACTACAGTTTTCAATTTGGATAATTTCTCAATATCAAAAAAACAAAAATCCTCACCATTCTACTGGCAGCCAAAATTATGATAGGAGGAGAAAACATTGAAGCTGTCAACAAATTCATTTTACTTGGATCCACAATTCAAGCAATCAAAAGCTACACAGCATGTAGCAGCAATCAAGAACTCCTAAGGTGAAGATGGGTTGCATTGGAAAAATGTACAGTTAAAAGACTTCTTCAGGGGAGCTCTGGTGGCCTAGTGGCAAGGAGCTGCAACTACAATCCCAGAGGCGCACAGTTCGAATCCACCAGATGCTCTGCCGGGGAAGGAGGGACAATCTCCTCCTGTACCTGTCAGATCTGATTTGACGGTACACGCACACAAAAATAATGAAATTTAAAAAAAAAAGACTTCTTCAAAATGACAAAGAACAAGGATGTGAGTTTAATGACTGAAGTGTGCCTCATCCAAGCTACGGTATTTCCACTTGCTTCCTGTGCATCTGAAAGTTGGACCATGATTAAGGACCAGAGGATTGATGGATTTGAACTCTAGTGTTGGAGTTGTTGTTGTTGTTGATTACCTTCGAGTTGAGCATGACTCATAGCAGCCTATGAATAAAAGGTGTGAAGCCCCTCTACAATTATTGACATTTATCAAAGTTCATATAGTTTTGGGAGGCATGTTATTTAGGAAGTGGATGCCACTCCTGCTTCCAAACCTGTCATAGTATGTTATTGTTTTTATGTGCCATTGAGTCGCTAGCAAAGGTGCACTTAATCCAGGCCATGGTCTTCTTGATTACTTGTTATGCTTTGGAGAGTTGAACAATGACTAAGGATGACAGAAGAATAGATGCCTTTGAGTTGTGGTGCTGGAGAAGAGTCTTGAACATACCATGGACCGCCAAGAAAACAAATAGGTCTGTTTTGGAGAAGGTGAAACCAAGTCTCTCCTTGGAGGCTAAGATTTTGAAGCTCTGCCTCACATACTTTGGGCACATAGCCAGGAAGAGATGGGTCCTTGGAGAAGGATATCATGCTCAGAAGCGAGGATAGACAGCGCAGGAGAGGGAGACCCCGGATGAGATGGATTGATACGGTAACTGGGGCGATGGGGGTTGGTGTGTCAGAGTTAGTGAGACGGGCTCAGGACAGGGGAGGGCTCAGAGCTGCTGTACATAGAGTCAGCTATACATCGCAGTGTTGGAGAAGAGTACTGAATATCCCCTGGGCTGGCAAACAAGCAAGCAAATATATGTTAGAACAGTGCAACCAAGATGCTCCTGAACGCAGATGGTGGAACTTGGTCTTACATACTTGGGGCTTGTTTTCAGGAGGAGCATGTCCTTGGGTCAGTAGAAGAGAGGATGGCACTCAGTAAGACGGATGGAGGGACAGTGACTGTACAATGGGCTCGGCATGTCAGAGACCATAAGGATGGCACGGAACAGGGCTAGCTTCCGATTTATTGCTCACAGGCTCCCCGTGAGTGTAACGGACTTGATGACACCTCAATGCAACAACAGACAGAAGCAGAACTCAAGGCAGACCACTTTCCTATTTTTTATTTTTTTTAGTTTTACCTGTAACTAGCATTTATTAAACTTTTTTTTTTACTTTTTAAAAAACTCTTGATATGTGTGTTGGTGTAGTTACAATTTCTTTACATCTATTATGTCCTTATTTAATCTTCACAACCACTTTATGAGGTTATGCTCTCTGTTCTATAGACCATTTTTTGTAGTTACACTAAACTACTCTAAGGTTTTAAGATGACTTCAGAGGGTATTTGTTGTTGTTGTTGAAGGCTTAAAGACCACCTCAGGACAAGCTTCACAGGGCTTTCTTGGTTATAATCTCAGCAGAGGCAGTTAACCAGACCTTTCTTCCATGGTACAGCTGGGTGAGTTTGAACCACCAACTTTGAGGTTGCCTGTAGTTCTCCATCTAGTAGACTCCTGCCCGTGTCATCTCCATGCATGACACTGTACACCTGCCCCATTGAGTTTCATGGACCGTAATCTTTATAGGAGTGGGTAACTAGGAGCCATTAACCCCTGTCATTGAGTCACTTCCAACTCGCATCGACCCTCTGGGAAAGACAAGGTAGAACTCTCCGAATAAGGGTTTGGGAACTGTCAATCTTTACAGGAGCAAACCGCCTCATCCTTCTCCTGTCGAGCAGTGGGCAGGTTCAGAGTTCTAACTTTCCTGTTCACAGCCCATCACTTTACCGGCTGTGCCCACACGGTTTCGTGTGGAGCCCCTGGGTTGGTCCAAAATGCCAACCTTTGGGTTAACAGCTGGATGCTTACCTGTTGTGCCACCAGGGCTTCTTTTTAAGTTAGTCGTCAAGCAGAGACCGAAGAAAAGCGAAGATGGTAAAGGCTGGAGGGTGAGGAGGACAGCACTCTGTTTTAGACAGGGCAATCAGGGAAGGCCTCAAGGAGGAGGTGAGGAGTGAGCCAGGAATGTAGCAAAAATTTCCAATCCTGTTTTCGTTTCTTTGTGCTGCTGTAACCGAATTACCCCAAGTGGCTCTGAAGAACAGGAATGTGCTTTCTCGGACTTTTGTTGGGTTGTCATTGACTGCCTTCGAGTAGAGCATGATTCATAGCGACTCAATGAACAAAAGACATAAAGCCTTTCCATAACTATCGTCATTTCTCCAAGTTCATAGAGTTTCCAGAGGCATGTGGTTTAGGAAGTGGAAGCCACTCCTGCTTCCAAACCTTTTTTACACCTGGGAGCTCCACCAAACGCTGTCCACAAGGGAAACTATTATGAAGAAGGTTCCTCCAGACATAACAGCACTCGGCTCATTTAGCAGTGGTTATGTGTTGTCGAGTCAAATACAACTCAGAGTAAGCTTTGCACAGAAGACCTGAACCCTCTTCTATAATTAACATCATTTCTGTACATTTATAAGAGAGTTTGTAGAGTTTCCAGAGGCATCTAGTTTAGGAAGTGGATGCCACTCCTGCTTCCCAACATGAATCAGTCTGGAAGCTCATCCAAACATTGTAAATAATGGGCAACCATTTGTGTTGTATTTGACACAACAATGGCACAGTATTCAGCGTCACAGCATCTCCAAGGTGTTCAGTACAGCAAATAGACAAATGATTGCTATGTCCCTTGAAAAGTATTCATTCTAAAATCAATACGTTTGCCCCAAGGGCTGCAGGCCTGAGGGCCCTGTTGGGGAGATGCCCAATTTCAGGCCTCTGGCCCCATATAAGGCTCTTTGAGGCTTTGGGAAAGAGCCTTGGTTCTATAGTTCCTGGTTTCTTGGTGATCATCCCGTGACTTCTGTCTTCTCTTGTTTGCACTTTATTATCCTTCATCTGCTCTTTTTTTAGAAATCAAAAGTGACTGGTTTAAGGCACGCCCTACAGTAACTGAGTCTTGTTGATGCAACGAAGAACACAGTGTCCAAGCAGGATTCCATGCAGAGGGCCAGGGAATAGGATTCTGACCCTTTGTTTGGGAAGGGCCGTCATGACAGCTCTTTCCTTGGTCATCACCAGCAGTGCCCCAGCGAGCACTCTTGTGCATGTCTTCAGACAGGTGTGCACAGCGTACCCCTGGCAAGGTGTGCAGACAAGTCTCAGCTTCTTGTACTTCGCATTAGTGTACTTCTCAGATACTGTGCTTTTTACAAGTTGAAGGTCTGCACTGAGAAAGTCTAGCAGCACCATTTTTGTTGTTGGTTAACTCAATATTTCACACATTTTCTTGATGCTATAACATCCATAGCAGACTAAAGTATAGTGTAAATATAGAGAATTCTAGTGGCCTAGTGGCAAGAAGCAGTGCTGCAATACCGAAGGTACATGGTTCTAGGCCACCAGCCGCTCCATGGAAGAAAGATAGGCAATCTCCTCCCATGCTATTAACTGCCTTTGAAAAAACACTAGAGAGTCAGCTATGGGTCAGTTCTGACTCTATGGTACACAATAACAACAACAACAGTTGCACTGCCAACCCAAATACATGTAGCTGCTCCACAGGAGAAAGATGGGCAATCTCCTTCTGTGCAATTTACAGCCTCTGAAAACCTGCTGGAGGGCCAGCTCTGAGCCCACGACAATGATTTGAATTTTTCATTTTTCTTATGGTGAGAAAAATTTATATTTAGAATTAGCCCGCTGGACTCAGTTTAGATGATCCCAATTTTGTTGGCAACATCCAAAGCAACATAATCAGGAGCAAGTCGAACATAGGCCTTCTCTCCATCAGGCCTAATCAAAGTGTTGACCTTAGCCACATCAATGTCATAGAGCTTCTTTACGGCGGCGTGTTTAATTTGGTGCTTGTTGGCCTTGACATCCACAATGAACACAAGTGTGTTGTTATCGTCTATCTTCTTCATAGCTGACTCAGTGGTCAGGGGAAACTTGATGATGGCATAGTGGTCAAGCTTGTTTCTCCTGGGGGCGCTCTTCCGGGGGTATTTGGGCTGCCTTCAGAGTCTCCGTCTTAGGCTTCCGGAAGGTGGGTGACATGCGGATCTTCTTTTTTTTGGCTGTGGATGCCCTTCAGGACTGCCTTCTTGGCCTTTAATGCCTTTGCTTTGGCTTCACTTTTTGGAGGGGCAGGGGTTTCCTTCTTCGCTTTTGGCACCATCTTCGAAAAAATGGAATTTTTCATTTTTGTCACTGGAGCTCGGTATTCTCCTAGATAACCCAGGATTATTCCAAGATCCCTTATTTCATTATATTTGCAAAGACCTCTTTAACCTCAGTTCCAGACCCTTGGGCTGGATGACCTTTGAGGACAGTGAGGCACCAGTAGTTCAGTGGGCATTTTCTCACCTTCCATTCTCAGCCACTGCATCACGTGTTTCACCACTATCTCTCTGGCAGTGGAAGCTTCCATGTTGCTGGGATGCTAAATAGGTTTCCATGCAGCTTCCACACTGATAGACTCGGAAGAAAGGCCTGGAGATGCACCTCCAAAAACCAGCTATTGGAAAGCCCACAGGTCATAGTCCATTTAATAGCGAGTCACGGTGTTACCATAGTAAGTGACCTGGTTTTGGTCTTCCTTGCCCAGTCAAAGGATTGAGCCAGATGGGAGGCACCAGAGAGTGTGACAGAATCTGGTGGCTCTAAAAGAGGTAATTCTTTGTTACAGCAATTTTGTTCTTGTTGTTATATGCCATCGAGTCATCTGTGACGCACAGTGACCCTATGTACCATAGCTCTAAACCTTGCCCTATCCTGAACCATTCTCGCTGTCTCAAATACACTTATCCCAGTTGTAAATACATTACCCAGTAACTGTGCCAATCCATCTCATCCAGGGTCTTCCTCTCCTGTGTTATCCCTCCACCCTTCCAAGTATGATGTCCTTCTCCAAGGACTGGTCCCTCTGGGCTAAATGCCCAAAGTCTGTGAGACAGAGCTTCAAAATCCTTGTCTCCAAGGGGCTGCTTGGTTTCACCCTCTCTTGGCAGTCCATGGTATGTTCAAGACTCTTCTCCAGCACCACAACTGAAAGGCATCTATTCCCCTTCTGTCATCCTTATTCATTGTCCAGCTCCCAGATGCATAGCAAACAAGTGAGAAGACATGGCCTGAGTCAGGAGCACCTTAGTCTCTAGACTACATCATTACTCTGTAGTAGAACTTCGAAGAGGTCCCTGACAGCACATTTCCCTAATGCAATTCGTCTTTTGATTTCCTGACTGCAATTTTAGTAGCTCTGAAAAGAGGCATTGTCTGACTTGCTTGATTAAAGCAGTCCTAGTGTGGGCTGAGCCCTCAATTCCGCAGAGTATGATCGGAGCCCCAGAACCTCAGTGGTCACTAAGCTCAAGGATGTCTCACTTGCCAAGAGGAAAGACAAAAGGGAAAATAAAGACAGTTTATTAGTGATAATACGTTCTAGAGAGAAGAATGGGTCACTCTCCATGAAAAGGAAAAGAGTGGACAAAGGGTTATATAGCTTCTGGGGGCCATTTTTATGCAAATTAAGGTTAGTGGTATCTGGACCAATGGGATGATGTTGCTGGAGGTTCCCACTCAGGTCTGTTGTTTAATTGCATGTTAGGTCTCCTCTCCCTGGGGTAACTCTTTTTTTAAAAGAAAACTTTTATTGTAATTTTGTTTGTTTGTTTTAATTTTTTTTATTTTATTATTTTTGTGTGTGTGTACTGTCAAATCAGATCTGACTGGTACAGGAGGAGATTGTCTCTCCTTCCCCGGCAGAGCATCTGGTGGATTCGAACCGTGCGCCTCTGGGATTGTAGTTGCAGCTCCTTACAACTAGGCTACCAGAGCTCCCCTTATTGTATTACTTTTACGTGTACCGTCAAATCAGATCTGACTGGTACAGAAGGAGATTGCCCCCTCCTTCTCCAGCAGAGCATCTGGTGGATTTGAACCGCGTACGTCTGGGTTGCAGTGCAGCGTCTTGCCACTATGCCACCAGAGCGCCCTTCCCTGGGGTAACTCTTAGTGCACATGTCAGCCTTGGCACCTTCCTTACAAGGTAAAGCTGTGTGCTTGGCTTTCATTGGATTCTCTGGAGCCTCTACACTGTATGGGCTCCAGCTGGCCTCCAATAGCTTGTTTGACAAGGTTCCAGGAGACACTGCAAAGCACTTGATGATTTTAACTTCATCCTTGACTCTCCTTCCTGGGCTTTTTTGCCCTAAATCATTTTAACAGCCAGCTGACTGCTAACAAGGGGATTGAAGCAGGACTGGACACTGACTGCCTGGGGCTGCCATGAGCTGGGGCAGATGACCGACAAAGTCGATGGGGTGCCTTTCTTTTTCTCACCACACAGAAGGACTGACTGCTCCTGTTTGCCCAGCGTGCTGCACCAGCTGATCCATGTTATTGCTTCATTTCTCTCCCCTCTGCCGTTCATGGGTATATATCTTCCTGAAAGACAAAGTAACAAAAGTGCAAAGTGAAAAGCTTGAGGAGAGAAGGAACAAAGCTAGCCCCTTGCCCATCACAGCCCCCCACAGCTGGGGCAAACAAGACACCGGAGAGCTCCACGTCTGGGGTCCAGCTGTACCCACAAATGCCCTTCTCCACCCCCACTCCAGGGCCTTCCTTCGGATGCTCTTTCCTGAGAAGCTGGACACAGACAAGAAGGGTCGTCCCAGCACAGCCGGCTCCAAGATCAAGGTGGGCCTGGGATGGTGAGGGGCCACAGGGCAGCCTGACCAGTCCCCCCAGTGTCTGTCTCTCCCATCCACAGGATCTCCATCTCTTCTCTCCTCCCCATGAAGGTTCCTCCTCTAGTTCTGGGTTTGTGGGGCGTTGGTCTGTTTCCCTTTGATGACCTCCCAATTCTCTAAATCCTGAAGTGCACAGTAGAGATATAGATATAGATGATATATAGATAGATATAGATAGATATAGATATAGGTATAGATATATGATATAGTTATATGATATAGAGATAGAGACAGAGATAGATACAGATATAGATACAGATATAGATGATATAGATATCTATATAGAGATAGAGATAGATGATATAGATATAGAGATAGAGATGATATAGATAGATACAGATGATATAGATATAGATGATATACATATATATATACATACATACACACACATACATACTAGTGATTATTGCAGTGAAATACAGCCACCAGAATATATATATATGTATATGTATACATACATACATACTAGTGATTATTGCAGCGAAATACAGCCACCAGAACTCTTCCCCAGCACAGCAGCTTCCACACCGAGAATGAACTGATGTTGAAGACATTTTTCCAGGGTGGACCACCATTCTCACTTTTCTTTTGCACATTATTCCACCACTACTGACAAATTCACCAAACAAACCCCCTCATCCTCCTCCCTCCCACCCTGAAACCCCAGTCAGCTTTTGCTTCCTTGTGGTTGCTTGTTTCATGTAAATGAGCTCATTCTTTTCTGGGTGCACCGGGACCTAGAGGGGCCTCATTTCCCTCAGGGTGATGTCCTCAGGGCCCATCCCTGCCGTGCACGTGCACGCGGCAGGGCCTCATTTCCCTTTTTAACTGCAGCATGTTCCTCCGTGTGGCTGGACCGCAGTGGTGTCTGCCCTGTTGTCTGCTGCTGGACATTTTGGCTGTCTCTACTTTGTGGCAACTGTGCAAAGTGCAGTGAGCACTGGGGCAGGAGTTCCTGTTTGTGCTCCTGCCTCCGCTTCTCCTGGGTGCATGCCAAGCACTGGGACTGCTGGCCCATGTCTAAGCCACGGTCAACTTTTTGAGGAGCCATTAATGGATTGCACAGTGGCTGCCCCACTTCCCATTCCCACCCGCAATAGGTGAAGGCTCCAGTTTCCATACCACCTCCCCACTACCTGCTGACTATTGTATTTTAGGGACTAAGTATTGAAGAGTCACTTGTTGCTGGCAATATCCATGGGTCACGTTGCATGCATGGGTACCATGCGAGAATGCAGAGGAGTGGGCACCCTCATCCGTTCATTGCCAATTGTCGTTATGCACCATCAAATTGGAACCGACTCATAGCTGACCCTCCAGCAGGATCTCAGAGGCAGTAAATCAAACAGGAGGAGACCGCCCATCCTTCTTCCAAGGAGCAGCTGGTGGATTCGAACCACTTACCTTTGGGTTGGCAGCACAATGCTTTACTGACTAGGCCACCAGAGTACCCCACTGTGACAGGATTATAAAAGGGTGGAAAACACGTTGGCAGGTCCTCAAAAATCAAACACAGAACTCCTCCATGGCCGCGCAATTCCACTCCTGATCTGAATGCAGAGATTCAAACAGAGGCCAGTTCTCCGGTGTTCAGCACAGCAGAGTCCACAACGGCCTAAGGGGGACACGGCCTCAATGCCCATCAGTGGGTCAATGGCTAGACACACCGGTCCCACGTTAGGCTTATCTGGCCGGTGAGGAGACAGAGCTCACAGAAGGACAGTCGCTGGTCTGCGTCACACAGAGACAATTTTAACACCCAAGTCGCTCCCACTGCGAACCCTAGTTTTTTTGCTGGGTCAGTTTTCCTTGCAGTTCCCCCAAGGGACTGAGATACACATGAGATAGATACACAGTGACAGCTTCTGGCCCCTCAATACACACAAACCACAACTCACCCCAAAAAGGGCTGCTCCTGGGTGACATGTCCTCCCAGAACTCTCTATCAAGTGTTTACTGAGCATTTACCAGCAGCCGGAAACCCCTGGATGATGTGGACGGTTAATGTGCTTGGCTGCTACCCAATAGGTAGGCAGTTCAGGTCCACCCAGAGACCCTTGGTGGAAAGGACGAGTGAGCTCCCAGCCACTGAAGACCGTGTAGAGCCCAGTTCTTCTCTGACACATGTGGGGTGACCAGGAATCGTGGCTGACTTGCTGGCGCCTGGCTGTCACGTGCCAGGTCCTGCTGGGTGGTGTGTGTGACAGATGTGAGCACTCTCAGTATAAGACGAGGACCAGTGACAGCCACTTGCTGTGGAGTGGACCCTGACTCCTAGCAACCTCACCTGTCAAAGTACAACTGTGTCCTTGGTTCCCTGTGCTTGGTTTTTTTGGTTTTTGTTGTTGTTGTTGTTTTCATTTTTTTTAATTTTTATTGTATTATTTTTACGTGTACCATCAAATCAGATCTGACTGGTACAGGAGGAGATTGCCCCCTCCTTCTCCAGCAGAAAGCATGCGGTGGATTTGAACCGTGTACCTCTGGGATTGCAGTGCAGCGTCTTGCCACTAGGCCACCAGAGCTCCCTTTGGTTTTTTGAAAGCAGATAGCCTGGCCTTTCTTGCAAGTCACCTCTGAGTGGACAAGAACCTCCAGCATTTCGGTCAGCAGCGAGTGTGTTAGCCATGTGCATCACCCAGGGTCAGGCAGCCAGAGAATACTGATGCTGTGAGGTGTGTGTTAGCAGGGATACTCCCAACCAAAAAGACTGCTGTAGGTTAACGAGTACACAGGCCAGGGCCACCTGAGCCCGGGGGGCCACCGTTGACAGCCCCCATCCACCCCAGTGTGTCTGTTTCTTGGGTGTATGAGCAGGTTGGGGATAAGCATGGGCCCTGAGGGTGTCATCTGAGCCCCTCCTGCTGGCTTCCTGCCCATCCCAGAAACAAGCCAACGACCTGGTGACCACCCTGAAGAAGTGCACACCGCACTACATCCGCTGCATAAAGCCCAATGAGACCAAGAAACCGCACGACTGGGAGGAGAGCAGGTGATCCCCGTCCCGAGACTAGCATGGGCCCTCCAGGACCCACCCCATAACTGACCTGCTGGTCCCCAAAACCACACAGAACCCCATGGGACCCTCGGACAACATCTCAGACTGACCAAGACCCCCCCACTCAGCCCCCAAAATGTACCCAGATCAACTACAGAATGGCTAGGGACAAGCTGGGTTCCCCAGCTCCAAAGGTCCCAAAATTGATCAGTTAGACACAGACTCCGTCCCCCAGCCATGCTCCCCACCCCACCCCCCCAGAGCACCTGATTCCCAGGAGGACCTCTGGGCCTGCACTGATCTCCCTACCCATCTCAGAACTCGGTCCTACTCAGTCCTACATTGCACAGTGGAGACCCCCGGACCCGGGTCAGCCTGTGCAGGCACTCCCTAACAGCATGCCCTCCAATGGTGAAGCCCCATCTGACACAAGTGGGACTGTCCCCGTAGGGTCAAGCACCAGGTGGAGTACCTGGGTCTGAAGGAGAACATCCGGGTTCGCAGGGCCGGCTTCGCCTACCGCCGCCAGTTCGCCAAATTCCTTCAGAGGTAAGCAAGGCACAGCTGCCACCAGTGACCCCATGCTGCCCTGACCCCAGAACCCCCATCCTATCCACCAGCTGCTGCCCTGACCCCAGGCCCCCCGTACTGCCCATCAGCCTCTGCCTTGGTCACCCAGTCCCCCTGTCCTGCCCACCGGCCGTCACCTCCACACCCCCCCACGCAGCCCTCTGTCTGCAGGTACGCCATCCTGACCCCTGAGACGTGGCCGCGGTGGCGTGGGGATGAGCGCCAGGGTGTCCAGCACTTGCTCAGGGCAGTCAACATGGACCAAGACCAGTACCAGATGGGCAGTACCAAGGTCTTCATCAAGAACCCAGAGTCGGTAAGACTGTGTCCAGCAGGCAGAAAGACAGGCTGCTGGGGCCCCTGACTGTCTGCTGAGCCTCACTTTCCCCATGTGGGACATCTGGTCCTGCAGGACCTGGGTGAGGGTCAGTCCACAGCAGGGCAGGCAGGCACTGCGCACGCGCACAGTAGATGCCCTATGCGTAGCCTGTGATGTTAAGTCGGTTCGACGCACAGCAGCCCCACATGACAGTGCAGACCTGTCCCGAGGGGCTTCTTGGCTGTAAACTTCACAGGAGCAAATCACCAGGTGTTTCTCCCCGGGCGCTAGCTGCTGGGTAGTAGGCGCTCAGAAACGAGGTGCTTCCTGGTGGCCGTCAGATACTGGAGTGGAGACACGAGGGCATACAAATGATGAGGACACAGGACTGGCCTTGGACACCTGTCCCTTCTTTCCCTTCCTCCTGTGTTTTCATTGCGCCTTTCTTCCTTCTGGGGTTATTTCAAGATCAGTCTCACGCAAGTCCTTTGATGTGCAAATAATCACTCCCAGGCCCTGTCAGCCATTCCTGCTTCATTAACAATGGAGTATCTGTGTAAAATATGTGCTATCAGGATTGGAGGAAGACTCACCAACAACCTGCTTCACGCAAGTGACACATCCTTACTTGCTAAAAGTGAAGAGGACTTGAAGCACTTGTTACAAAAGATCAAAGCTAACAGCCTTCAATATGGATTACATCGCAACATCAAGAAGACAAAAATCCTCACCGCTAGACAGATATGCCACATCATGATAGATGGAGAAAAGATTGAAATTGTCAATTGTTTCATCTTATTTGGATCAACAATCAACACCGTTGGTACCAGCAGATGTATTGCATTGAGCAAGTCCACTGTCAGGGACCTCTCCAAAACACTTAAGAGCAATAATGTCAGTTTGAAGACTAAGGTGCCGCTGTCTCAGGTCATGGTCTTTCCAATCACTTTGCTACATGTATCTTGAGAGCTTGACAATGAATAAGGATGACAGGAGAAGAATCGATGCTTTTGAACTGGGTTAGAGAATACTGAACATCCTATGGACGGCCAAAGAACAGGTATGTCTTGAGAAAAGTGCTTGGAAAGGTGGATTCACCTTTTCAGTCACTCGCTGTCCCTCTGAAAGCTGGACAGTGAATAAAGATGATGGGAGAAGAATTAATGCCTTTGAACTGGTGGTGTTGGAGACAAGCACTGACCACCCCATGGATTACCAAAAGAATAAACAATATGTCTTGAAAATGGTGCATCTACAAAGCTCCTTGGAGGCAACAATTTCAGCAGGCAGGGTTGTGTCATCTGCATAATGCAGATTGTTGATGAGTCTACCTCCAATCCTGATGCTATTCCTTAGAAAGGGATCTAGTGTTTAGAAAAGTGGAGGGTCAGCAGAAGAGAGAAAGGCCCCCAAGGTGGAGTGACACAGTGACTGCAGCAATAGACTCAAAGTGTGTCCGAGATGATGAGGATTGCACAGGAGAGAGCAGGGTTTAGAGTCTTATATAAGTGCCGCCCTACAATATTTTCCCTTTTCCCGTTGACTTAATGCACTCAGTATAATGTCCTCTCCAGAGTCATCCACATTATGGTTTGAGGACCTGTCATTATTCTTTGGGGAGCTCTAGTGCCATACACCCTAAAGCACTACTGTACTGATAACCCAAACATGGCACTTCCCTGCCTGTATGAATGGGCCGACATCTCAGGAGAAAGGTGGGCAACCTCCTCCCATGCAGCCTCCAAAAACCCACTGGAGGGTCAGCTGGGGAGGGTCACTTCTGAATCCATGGCAATGACTTGGCATTCCTCTTTATGGCTGTGTGGTGTTCTACCACATGGAGGGACCATACTGTGGTCATTCATTCATTTGCTGATGGGCACTTAGCGTGTTTCCATCTATTATTGTTGTTATTACTATTATTGTTTATTATTATTATTATTATTATTATATTTTTATTATTTATTATTCTGAGTGGACATGGTTGTGCATGTCTGTCCATGTCTTTTATTAGCTCTCTAGGGTATATATACCAAGGAAGGGGAATTCTGGAACATACTTCTATATCTAGCTTTTTGAGCAAGTGTGATATCATTTTCCATGTTGTTATTGTTATGTACCATCAAGTCACCTGCGACTCATAGCGACCCTATGTACAACAGCCCTAAACCCTGCTCTATCCTGTGCCAATCTTATTGTCTCCAACATGCCTATCCCCATTACCCCAGTCACTGAATCAATCCATCTCATTGAGGGTCTTCCCCTTCTGTGCTGTCCATCCACCCTCCCAAGCATGAAGTCCCTCTCCAAGGACTGATCCCCACTTGCAGCATGTCCAAAGTATGTCAGATGAAGCTTCAGAATCCTTATCTTCAAGGAGCAGCCTGACTTCAACCTCTCCAGGATGAACTTGTTTGTTCTCCTAGCTGTCCAGTACTCTTCTCCAACACCACAGCTGAAAGGCATCAACTCTCCTTCTAGTCATTGTCCAACTCTGATGCATAGCATGGAATTGCAAAGACCATGGCCTGTATCAGGCACACCTTAGTCTCCAGACTGACATCATTGCTCTTCAGTACTTTAGAGAGGTCTCTGACAGCAGACTTTCCCAATGCAACTCATCTTTTAATTTCCTGGCTGCTGATACTAACAGTAGAGCCAACCAAACTGAAACAGTCAACAATCTCAATCTCTTCATCATCCATCATGATGCTGCCAATTGGCCCAGTGGTGAGAATCTTTGTTTTCTTGATGTTGAGCTTCAATCCATATTGAAGGCTGCAGTCCTTGACCCTCTGCAGCAAGCACTTCAGGTCTTCCTCAATTTCAGCAAGCAGGGTTGTGTCATCTGCATAATGCAGATTGGTGATGAGTCTACCTCCAATCCTGATGCTACACTTCTCCTCAAACAGCCCAGCCTCCCGGATAATCTGTTCTGCATATAGGTTGAAAAGGTATGGAGATAGGACACATCCCTGGTGTACGCCCTTCCCAATTTTGAACCATGCAGTGTTTCGTTGCTCTGTTCTGACGACTGCCTCCTGGTCCAAGTATAGGTTTCGCATTAGCACAATCAAGTGTTCTGGGATTCCCATTCTTCTCAGAGTCAGCCAGTATGTTATGATCATTTTCCATAGTGGTTGTAATAGTTTACAATTCCCCCAGCAGTGGATAAGAGTCCCAATTTCCTCATATCCTCACTAGCATTTGTTTTCTGGGTTTGTTTGTCTTAATCGGTTCCATTTCTGCTGGTGGCTCCATCTTACTGGAGTTCTGGTGGTCTGGGGGTAAGGAATTGCGCTGCCAACCCAAAAGTCCATAGTTCAAATCCACCAGCTGCTCCACAGTAAAAGGATGAGTAGTCTCCTCTCCTGTAATTCACTGTCTCTGAAAGTCATGGGAGAGTCAGCTGTGAGTCGGTTGTCACCTGGTGGCACACAGCAAGAACACACACTTTTGTAATACTTCTGAAATTTGAGGCCCCTCCGTGGCATCCATTAGCCACGTTGGGACAGACAACAGTAAAGAGTCTTATTCTGTCAGTAGACAGTTACAAGTCCTTCAACTAGTGGGAGGAACTACAACATCTCTGAGGAAAGGCTACAAACAGAACCTGCTTGCAAGAGTCTCCCAAACCAAGGAAAGAAAGTTAAAGCAACAAGAGACAGTCAACGCAAAGCTCTGGGTTACATTTCAAACTGTCATCCAGACACATGGTTACTTCTAAAGAGCAAAGTCAAAATTTCATCTGGGCATGCTATGGAGTGTCTTACTGCTCTAAGAGTTCTTTCCCTGGATTTGGGGGGATTTCTCAAAAATAAGCAGAAATAACCAATTTATAAGGGGCTACAAATGGCTAAGCACTTGACTACTAACTGAAAGTTTGATTTTGATAGTTCAAACCCACCTAGGAAAGGTCTGATGATCTGCTTCTGAAACATCACATCTGTCAAAGCTCTACAGAGCACAGTCTTCCTGAAGTAGAACTGATTTAAGAGCAACTGATACACAGGTTTTTAAGGGGCTTCTTTAAAATATCAACCCTAAGAGGTGTTATTGCTATCACTGGATGCCCTTAAGTCAATTTAGGTTCACAGAGACCCCAGCTGACAGAACAGAACTGCCCCATAGGATTTTCTAGGCTGTAATCTGTATTGGAGCACTGATGCCTTTGTGGAAAGAAGCTGCGCTGCAATCCTAAAGGTATGTGGTTTGAATCCACCATCTGCTCTGCAGGAGAAGGATGGGCAATCTCCTCCCCTGCGATTAACTGCCTCTCAAAAGCCACTGGAGGGTCAGCTATGTGTCGGTTCCGACTCCACGGTACTCAACACAACAAACAAAAATCTTTATTCACTATACCATGGGCTGTGAAAAAAAAACCAACAAAACAAACCACAAACCACTGTAATCCCAGAGGTGAGCAGTTCGAATCTACCAGATGTCTGCTAGAGAACGAGGGACAATTGCCTCCTGTATGAGTCAGATGCGACTTGGCTATACACACACACACAAAAAAAATAATAATAAAATTTAAAAAAATTTTTAATTTTTTAAAATCAGATCTGGCTGGTACAGGAGGAGATTTTCCCTCCTTCTCCAGCAGAGGATCCAGTGGATTTGAACGATGCACCTCTGAGATTGCAGGGCAGCTTCTTGCCACTAGACCATCAGAGCTCGCCTAAAAACTTTTTAAAAAACAAAAACGACAAAAGAAAACCAAGTCTGTCATGGAGAGAGTGCACCCGGGGTGCCGTCTAGAGGCAAGGATGGTGAAAGTCTGTCTCACATGCTTTGGGCATGTTGTCAGGACATCATGCTGGGAGAGAGAGAAAGTCAGCAAAGAGAGGAAGCCCCTTAATGAGATGGACTGACAGTGTCTGCACCAGCGGGCTCAAGCTTGGCAAAGTTCGTGAGGATGGCACGAGATAGGGCAAGTGTCACATCTGTTATTCAAAGACTTCCTGAGTCATAACTGACTCAATGGCACCTAACAACAACAGCAACAATCTTGGCAGAAGCAGGTAGCCCTTCTCCCACAAAGTTCCTGGATGGGTTTGAATCTCCAACTTTTTGGTTATTAGCCGAACACTTAACCATGTGCATCACCAGGGCTCCTTACCGTATATGGTGTTATCCTGTTACCTACAGTCTGGCTGGAACTGACTCACAGCTGACCCTTCAGAGGCAGTAAAATCACATGGGAGGAGACTGCACATCCGTCTCCCGCAGAGCAAGCAGCTAGTGGATTCTAACCGAGTGCCTTTGGAATTGCAGTGCAGCAATTTACCACTAGGCTACGAGACCTCCCTACAGTTGGAAGGTGCTATTAGTTTATAGATGGAAAACTGAGGCACAGAGCAGCCAAGACCTCACAGAAAATACGTGGCAGAGCTGGGAGTCGAGCCTTGCCAGACAAGCCTGTAGTGGTGACTGCGATGTCCAGGAATGAGGGGTACCCCTGGGCCCAGTCATGTAGTGGAAGACAGAAAAGCTCAGAATGACTGTATGCAGGTGTGTGTGAGCGAGAGCCTGTGAGTGAGGTGGGCCTGGGGGAAACGGACTGTGGCCATCAGAGAGACCAACGCACCAGCCTCCCTCTTCTCTAGCTTTTTCTCCTGGAGGAGATGCGAGAACGCAAGTTCGATGGCTTTGCGCGGACCATCCAGAAGGCCTGGCGGCGCCACGTTGCTGTCCGGAAGTACGAGGAGATGCGGGAGGAAGGTGAGGCTGGAGGACAGGAGGGGAGCTCTGGGTGGGGACGAAGTGGTAAAGCCGGGCCCTCCTCTGAGCCCCTCTGCATGACCCTTCATGACCCTTGCCCCGCGTCCCCACAGCCTCCAGCATCCTGCTTAACAAGAAGGAACGCAGGCGGAACAGCATCAACAGGAACTTCGTCGGGGACTACCTGGGGCTGGAGGAGCGGCCTGAGCTGCGCCAGTTCCTGGGCAAGAGGGAGCGCGTGGACTTCGCTGACTCAGTCACCAAGTATGACCGCCGCTTCAAGGTGCGCAAGCCCAGGACTCTGACCTTAGCCAGACACCCCTCCGCCAGATTCACCCTAACTTAGCTCAGACAGACCTGTCCACAGGTATGCATTCAGAGACCATATAGAAACTGGCCATCAAATATGCCTTGGGAGCTCCGGTGGCCTAGCGGTAAGAAGCTGCACTGCAATCCCAAAGGCATGCAGTTCAAATCCACCAGCTGCTCCACAAGGGAAAGATGGCCAGTCTCCTCCCTTGCGATATACTGCCTCTGAACTCTTGCTGGAGGGTCAGCTAATGGGTCGGTTCCAGCTCCATGGCACACAAGATGCCTTTATTTGAACCAGAAATGGGGTGCTGCGATGGCACACTTCATAGGGAGTTGTAATGCTAACCCAAAGGTTGTCCCTCTCTGCTGGTTCGAATCCGCCAGTGGCCCCACTGGAGAATGATGGGCAATCTCCTCCCATGTGATTTACAGCCTCACCAACCCAATGGAGGGTCAGCTATGAGTCGGTTCAGACTTAATGGCAATGAGTAAGCTTGACCCCACAAACACCTGTCCATTAGCTGTATCTTTATCTGACCTAGACATACCTGTCCACATATATGCATCTAACCTAGAAAAGTCTTTCCCACCACAAGTACACCCTTATCTGGCGTAGATACATGCACCGCCAGTATATGCTCACTTAGCCACACCTGTCCCACCACAGGTACATCCTCACCTGGCTCAGATTCACATGCCACACTTACACACTCAATGAGCCTAGATAACTGTTCATCAAGTATGACTTCAGCTCGATCACACACCTGTCCATCAGCTATACTGGACAGAGAGACCTGGACACACCTGTCCACAAGCACACCTGTATCTCATCAAGAAATCCTGATCATACAGCCACCTGTTCTGAAAATACCAAACCATCAGATCTACTCTCACCTAACCTAGACATACCTGTCAATCAGCTATGCCTTCACCTGGCACAGATACACCTATCCACAGTGGCACTCATCAGGCCTGCCTCATACCCACCTGGCCCAGCCAGTCCTGCTCAAAGGTACTCTCTCAGCCTGGTCCAGACAATTCTGCACACCAGTGTACTCCCACCTGACCTGTACATAATCCCTAGATACCCCCATGAGGTGAGGATATATCTTCACGTGGCTCCGCTAGCCCTGATCACAAACATGTTCACCAGACAAATACTCCTGTTCACTTATACTTGGGCATCTCCTCACCTGGACTAGATACCTGGGCATCTCAGTTCTGTCCTCACCTGGCTCAGACATTCCTGCCTGCCAGGTAGACTATCACTTGATCCATACTACTTGTCACATCCCAGATATTGTCACCTGGTGCAAACACACCTCTGTGCCTTGGAGAGCCCTACATAGTGGGCACAGCATGAGGTAACCTACGGATCTGGACCTGGGTAGACACTCGTATTGCCTACGTGCCTCAGACAAGTTTATGTGGAGGGTACACTGTCCTCTGATCTGTACTTTCTCACCTCAGTAGACACACTGGTCCCCCAGATATAACCCCATCTGGCTTATGCCCCCTTTATTATCCCAGAAATACCTGATCTTCAAGTACATTTGTACAACCTCACAGCCTAGACTTCCTTAAGAGACTTGTATACCCTCCCCTGTCCTCTACACCTTCATCTGCTTTGACTAGGTCTGTGCTGCAGGTACACTTCCACTGGCCTATAGCCTCACCTGTTAAGACATTTTCACTTAGATAGGTATCCCTGCTGGACCCACAGGTCTATTCACCCCAAACTTGCACATGTCTTCACTGGCCGTAGACACACTCCTCCACCACACCCCCCCCTTTACCTACCTCTCTACAAACTCACTTCAGACACACATCTCGTCCTTACTTCCTCACGTGACCCAGAGACCCTTATTCAGCTACCTCTTCTCTCCATCTTCACAAGATCCCATTACAGTCACATGACTCGGGCACTTTCATCTGAGCCAGGTAACCATGTCCAGCAGGAATACCTTCACCTAGTATGTACCAAGGCATTGTTCCAAACATTCTTTCCTAGCCAATATACCTTAGAATAGATTTCTATCCAATTTCTATCTATATTTCAAGCCAATATACCTTTAGAGTGTAATATGCATTTATTATTGTAATATACCTTTATTTTTTTAATATACTATAATATACCTAACTTTAGTTAACCTCCTGCTCTTGCCTGTGTAACTTAACCACCCACATACCTTCCCCTAGAGGACAGGCACCCTTACCTGCCCCCCCATTCTAGTCTGTAAACAATCACAGACTAGACCGTCACACCTTTACCTGACCAACCAGCACCTTCGTTCTGCCTGGTGTTGATCCACTGGGGCCAGGCTGCCCGTGCCCAGGGCTCCAGCCACCAGTCTCTGGCCTTGTGTCCACAGCCCATCAAGCGGGACTTGATCCTGACCCCCAAATGTGTGTATGTGATCGGGCGGGAGAAGGTGAAGAAGGGGCCTGAGAAGGGCCAGGTGCGAGAGGTCCTGAAGAAGAAGCTGGAACTCCAGACCCTGCGAGGAGTCTCCCTCAGGTGACTCCCGGTCACCCTCACCTGTCCCTTTGTAATCGCAGCTGTACCTGTTACCATGTCTTGGCACCACCTATCACTGTCCCTGCTGTTGCACTGTGGCTGTTATTTACAAACAACTTGTGCATACGCACACACACACACCTGACCTTCTCATTAGACTTCACCTGGTCTATTGCCATCTTTCCTACACTGCTGCCACCTCTCCCTCTTTCCCTACCTGTGTCACCTGCGGCTTATCTGACTTTGCCTTGTTGCAGCTGGCATTTCTGGACTTCAGTCACCCTTACCCGGGTCTCGCCTGTCACCCTCACCTGACTTTCCTCCCGCCTCACCCCCAGCACCCGGCAGGACGACTTCTTCATCCTCCAAGAGGACGCGGCCGACAGCTTCCTGGAGAGCATCTTCAAGACCGAATTTGTCAGCCTTCTGTGCAAGCGCTTCGAGGAGGCGGCACGGAGGCCCCTGCCCCTCACCTTCAGTGACACGTACGCTCACCACCATACAGCCCTGCCCACGGTTCCCCCTCCACCCCATCCCAGACCTGGCCCACCCTTTTCATCCCACGTCCAGGCCCAGGGATGGAGAGTAGGGAGGGGACCAGACACTGCCTGTACCCACATAGCTGTCTCTTCTCTACAGACTACAGTTCCGGGTGAAGAAGGAGGGTTGGGGTGGAGGCGGTACCCGCAATGTCACCTTCTCCCGAGGTGCTGGTGACGTGGCCATGCTCAAGGCTAGCAGCCGGACCCTCACTGTCAGTGTGGGCGATGGGCTGCCCAAGAGTTCCAGTGAGTCTGGGAGGGGGAGTGGAGCCAAAAGGGGCACTGGGGGAGGGGCCAGTGAGAGCCAATCAAGGCTGTGGAGGGGCCATCACAGCTGGCTGAGAGTGGGCAAAGGATGCAGAGGCGGAGCCAAATGTATGAGCCTGGGGAAAGGAGAGGCCAATGAGAGCCAATCAAGGCTGTGGGAGGGGCCACCACAGCTGTCTGAGTCTGCAAAGGCCATGAGAGGAGGCCAAATGAGTAAGTCTTGGAGAAAGGCGGAGCCAGCGAGAGCCAATCAAGGAGTGGGTGGAGCCATCATAACTGGCTGACTGTGGGCAAAGGCCATGGGGGCGGAGCTAGGCAGGTGGGCCCTGGGTAAGGAGGGACCAGTGAGAGTACAAATCCAGGTTGTGGGTGGGGCCAGTGATGCCGGCTGAGAGTAGGCAAAAGCCACGAAGGAGGGGCCAGTGAGAGAGCCAATCAATTGGGGAGGGGCCAGCAAAGACACGAGTAAAATGACGAATGAGACAGTCAGAAGTGGGGCACGTGACCAATGATCAGGGGCCAGGGTTCGCGTATCCAAGGGGCAGGGTCTGAAGGGCTATCTCCAATAATGGATAGGATGTATGGGCACAACCCGGGTCCTGGGCCTGTCTTGCCACTCAAATCCTTATCCGCCTTTGCCTTTCAGAACCTACTCGGAAGGGAGTAGCCCAGGGGAAACCTCGAAGGTCAGCCCAGGCCCCTGCCCGGACAGCCCCTGGACACCCAAGAGGTGAGGCCATGCCCCCCCACTAAAAGTATTTTCCTGGCTTCTGTGGGGTCCCCTGGCCTAAGCCAGACCTTCGTCAACGGATCTAACAAGCAGAGTTGACCACTCTGCTCTGTCAGAACTTCCCACCCTGCTAAGCTTAGGCATTTAAAGCTTCTCAAACCATGATCCTGTTTAACCAGTGAACTCTTTTATCCTTCATTCCTGTTATGCAGGCTACATACTGTTTTGCCAACCGAACAGATTTACTCATTTATAGTTCTATGCTTGTGCGTTCTGCTTCCCACCTCACTTGTGCCCACTCCACTTGTAGTCCAAGACCCATCCTCAAAAGCCCTCCGACGGAAGAATGGCACAGCCTTTTTCCAGGGCCCCTGTCCTTCAAGGCCCAGTCCTTATCATACTGGCTTCTCTCCCTGGCTGAGAACAAGGAGCTGGGTCTGGCCTAAATTTTAGGATCACCCTGATAACACTCCTATACTTGTTCCATCACAGGCCTGGAACGAAATGGGGCGCCCCCATCAGCCAGAGGGGGCCCCCTGGCCCTGGAACTCACGTCTAGTCGGAGCTCCCAGCAGCCTCGCCAGGGCCCTCCAGCCTCAGCTTTGAGGGCCAGCAGACGTCCCAGGGCACGGCCCCCTTCAGAACACAACACAGAATTCCTCAACGTGCCTGACCAGGGTGTGGCCGGGTAGGTGGGGTGGGGGCAGCCATGGAGGTGGTCACGGGCTGCTGGAGTGTCCGAGGCTGTGACCCATAACCTTTGTGCCCCCAGCATGCAGAGGAAACGCAGTGTGGGGCAGCGACCAGTGCCCGGTGTGGGCCGGCCTAAGCCCCAGCCTCGCGTGCATGGCCCGCGGTGCCGGGCGCTGTACCAGTACATAGGCCAGGACGTGGACGAGCTAAGCTTCAACGTGAATGAGGTCATCGAGATCCTCATGGAAGGTGTGTGCCAGGGCCAGGGCTGGGCAGGCAGACGCTGACAAAGCTGGCAGCCCCAGTTACTGCATAGCCTTCCCGTGTGAGAGGACCAGCTCAGGGCCCCTACCACATGGCTCATGTGCTAGAAGCCCAGGGTCTGGAGGTCACCTCCTGAGCCATTTGGGGGGCCTGGCTTCTCTGCATCACACCCACTACCTGATCCTCAGCTTCCATACCTGTCAAACATAGGCCAGCCTCAAAGAGCCCTTGTAAGAAGGAAATGTGTGGGTGCTTCTGGGTGCCTCACAAGAAAGGCCTGGCAATCTACTTGCCAAAGGAAACACCACTGAAAATCCTACCAAGGATTTCTGCTCTGACACCCCTGACGTGGCCATGAGTCAGTATTGGTGGGTTGGTGGGCAGGTAGAGGGGAAGGCCACCTGAAGAAGTCTTGGTCATTCCTGAGTCCACCCTTGGATTTGTGGGAGAAAAATGGATGAGGGAAGGATGCAAGGGAATATTCTAGAGAATAGTAGAGTGCAGGTTGATGGGGAGAGGAGACAAATGTCTGTCCTTCCTTCTTTCCCTCCTTCCTTCATGTGTGTCCATCAGCTGACCTCTCTTCAGCTTAGCCTCAGGGCCCTAAGAGAAATGAGAGCGTGCAGGGCTGCCCTCCCACACCACACCCCACCCCACCTGTGCCTTCTCCCCACTCCCCCACCGTGGCCGGGCGCGCTGGGCGCTGCCTCACTCCACCTTCTCCCACAGATCCCTCAGGCTGGTGGAAGGGCCGGCTGCATGGCCAGGAGGGCCTCTTCCCCGGAAACTATGTAGAGAAGATCTGAGCCGGCGTCAGAGTTCCACCCTGTCCCTGCCTGCTCCAGCCTGGCCCTGTGACGGAAGCCCCATCTGCAGTGTTTATGGTGGCGGAAGACCAGTCTTGTGTCCCCCCCAGTACAGGCCCAGGGTCTGCAGACAGCTGTGCAGTCCCCTCACCCACCCTGGGGCCTGGGCTCCCCACGTCACACGTGTTGCCCTCGCCTCTGCTTCTATATGCGTCCAGTGAGGCTAAGAGCCAAACCTACCTCCCACATACCCTGTGACCCCAGCGAGTTGTGTCCTGTTGACAGAGCACCAGGCGTCTGGGGACCGTGATGATTACTTTCTTCCTTCTCCACCAGGAAGGCAATAAACAATTGCTGGATGAAAATTGAAAGAAGTCCTTTCCTAAGTGGCATCTCACAGCACTCATCATAGGTGGTGAGGCATCTTGTTAGCTCCGGGGGTGGGGGGACAGAAGATTTGAAACAGTTCAAACCAAGGCTCCAACCTGTAGCCGACTCCCCTCTACCCCCAAAAAAGCAAAAATAATTGAGTCACCTCACTTTCCCTAGCAGAAACTGTATCCCAGAGAGTGGTCTTGTGGGTCCCTTCAGTCTTGAACCTGCAGTCCTGAGACCCACCCAGGACCCGGCGGGCATCACACAGATCCCACACTGTCCACATTTGGTCAGCTGCTGGCCCCCTATCCCACATCACTGCTTTCTGGAACCTCTCCCTCATAGGTCCAGGGCCTTCTGGACTTCCTGTCAGAGGTGAAGGGAGTTAGCCTGGCTAGACTGGTCTTCCTGCCTGGCTCCAAGCCAGTTGTGGGAGCTGAGATAACCAGGGCGCCTGGACAGCCAGCTGAAACCTAGAAGTCAGGGACCTCAGCTCCCGAGCATTGTTCCTCTGTCAGTGGTCGGCCCCTTGGAGAGAGATGGAGTCAAGACACAGAATTCTCAGCTCATAGTGTCGGAATTGGCCTGGAAGAAGGACAGCGACTGCAGCCTGGGCACAGAGGGGACATGAGCCCTACTGGAGAAGCCAGGACAACTGGGGCGGAGAGTGTCATTGTTTTATAGTACAATGGGGTTGGAATCTATTCATAGCTGACCCTCCAGGTTTTTCAGAGGCAATAAATCACATGGAAGGAGACTGCTCACCCTTCTCCCAGAGAGCAGCTGGTGGATTCAAACCACAAACCTTTGCATTGGCAGCACCATTTCTTACCTCTAAGCCACCATAATGGACCTCTAGTAGGGGCAAGGAGCTGCACTGCAATCCCAAAGGCACGCGGTTCAAGGCCACCAACGATTCCACAGAAGGATGGGCAATCTCCTCCTGTGTGATTAACTGCCTCTGAACACCCACCAGAGTCAGCTATGGGTCGGTTCTGACTTTACAATACTCAACAAGAACAACAAACCACCACAACATGGCTTAGTAGAAGGGAAACACACAAACGCATTGTTGTGGGTTCTAACTTTCAGACACCCCATGTGTCAGAGCGCAGAACTGTGTTTTTGGCTGCCATCTTCATGGAAAGGAGCCCTGGTGGTGCAACGGTAAAGCCCTCAGCTGCTTACCTAAATGCTGGTGCTTGACCCACCCAAAGGAGCCTTGAGAGAGAAACCAGGCAGTGTGCTCCCCAAAATACTGCAGCTGTTGATACTGAGTCTGTCGTACAGTTAAGAGCTGTGAAAGCCAGAACCTGTGAAATGCAGAGACATGTTAAAGGAGGAAAAGGCAAACAGTTTCCAAGAATACGGAGCAAGTGGAAGACTCGTAAGATCTGGGTAAACCTAGCAGTCCAAGTCCCAGCTCCCACAGTTCTGCTACCCCTAAGGGTCCCTGGCTCAGCTCAATGCCAACAGGGGCCCAGGTCTGTGAAAAGAAAAAGAGTTTATTTTGCGAAGATAAACCGTCTGACACAGGCCATGGTCTTTGCAATCACTTGTTATGCATCAGGGAGTAGGACAATGACTAGGGAGGATAGAAGGAGAATTGATGCCTTTGAGCTGTGGTGCTAGAGAAGAGTATTGAGAATACCATGGACTGCTAGGAAAACAAACATTCATTCTGGAGAGGATTAAACCAGGCTGCTCCTTGGAGGCAAGGATTCTGGGGCTTCGTCTGACATACTTTGGACATGTTGTAAGGAGGGATCGGTCCTTGGAGAAGGACATCATGCTTGGGAGGGTGGAGGGACAGCGCAGGAGGGAAAGGCCCTCTATGAGGTTGACTGGGGTAATCAGGGTGGGTGTGTCGGAGACAGTGTGACTGGCACAGGACAGAGCAGGGTTTAGGGCTGTTGTACGTAGGGTCGCTATGAGTCACAAGCGACTCGACAGCACATAACAACAACAACAAACCGAGACCTAGTGTATGCCAGCGTGTCTACATGCCCTTGGTTGGATTTTGGGGTTACTTACATGGTCAAGATTGCCTACATAAGCAATTACTCTCAGAAGCCGTCTGATCTCCAATCTGCAAGGGCAGGTTATGGATTTGACTGTGGCACATTGTTCAGACTGGATGTTTATTCCATGTCTGTTTATGTTAAAGCTTTGCAAGGGGGGAGTTCCTACAGTCCTGAAAACAATGTCTGATGTTACTCTGGTCTGAAAACTCTGAAGGCAGAAACACACCTGGAGCATGAGGGAACTGTGAAGAGGGCTTGGGCCCTCAAATTTTAACCCTTTTCTTTCTCAGTTTCACTGTATAACAAAAATGAAACATTACTCAATCCTGCTTTGTTCTCGGGACTGCAGGCTCATAAAGACAACAGCCTAGAAAGATGACCCTGTAGTGAGTGCAGTTCTGGTCTATCCCACGGCGTCTCTAGGAGGCAAAATCTACTTTCTCATTTTTAATTTTTATTTTATTATTGTGTGTGTGTACCATCAAATCGGATCTGACTGGTCTGAAGGAGATTACCCCTCCTTCTCTAGCAGAGCATCTGGTGGATTTGAACTGCATACCTCTGGGATTGCAGAACAGCTTCTTGCCCAAAATCTACTTTTTTTTTTCAACCCTTGTTGTTGTTATGTGCCATCAAGTCGCCTGCGACTCATAGCGACCCTATGTACAACAGCCCTAAACCCTGCTCTGTCCTGTGCCAATCGCGCTTCCGACACACCCATCCCAATTACCCCAGTCACTGAATTAATCCACCTCATAGGGGGCCTTCCCCTTCTGCGCTGTCCCTCCACCCTCCCAAGCATGATGTCCTTCTCCAAGGACCTGTTCCTTCTTACAACATGTACAAAGTATGTTAGACGGAGCCTTAGAATCCTGCCTCCAAGGAGCAGCCCAGTTCGACCCTTTCCAGGATGAACCTGTTTGCTTTCCTAGCAGTCCATGGTACATTCAATACTCTTCTCCTGCACCACAGCTCAAAGACATCAATTCTCCTTCTATCCTCCTTAGTCATTGTCCAACTCTCTGATGCATAACAAGTGATCGCAAAGACCATGGCCTGTATCAGATGCACCTTAGTCTCCAAAGAGACACCATTGCTCTTCAGTACTTTGGAGAGGTCCCTAACAGCAGACTTTCCCATGGCAATACGTCTTCTAATTTCCTGGCTGCTGGTGCTGAAAGTGTTGACTGTGGAGCCAAGCAAACTGAAGCTGTGAACAATCTCAATCTCTTCACCATCCATCCTTATGCTGCCAACTGGCCCAGTGGTGAGAATCTTTGTCTTCTTGACATTGAGCCTCAATCCATATTGGAGGCTGCAGTCCTTGACCCTCTGCAGCAAGCGCTTCAGGTCCTCCTCAGTTTCAGCAAGCAGGGTTGTATCATCTGCATATCTCAGATTGTTGATCTTCCACCAATCCTGACCCCACATCTCAACCCTTACAAAGGATATTTTTTTATTAATTTTAATGAAAGTTTACAGAGACTTTGGATTTCCTTCATTCATTGTTGCACTTTTATCCCTGCCCAACCTCACCCTCTAGTTCCCTCTTCCCTTTGAAAAGTAAAATTCTTTCATTGTTAAACAATCCCTCTCCCTAAGTCCACTTTACTATGCAGCCTTCATTCTGGACTCCTGTCATGACAATAATACCTAATCATATATCCCTTTTAAAGAGTTCATTATCTGTTTCAATGTAATATACATAATTTATCCCCTCTTTCTCAGTCTTTTCCCAACCCTGATGTCAGTCCCATTTTACAACAGTGGCTCTATACAGTATTTGTCCCTTTTTGACTGAGATATTTCACTCAGCATAATGTCCTCCAGCATCGCCCATTTGGAATAATATTGCATGAGTTCCTTGTTTTGCAGTGCCGTGTAGTATTCCATTGTGTGGATATACCAGAGCTTCTCTATCCATTTGTTTGCTGATGAGCACTTAGATTGTTTCCAGCTCTTTGCTATTGTGAACAAAGCTTCAATAAACATGGGTGTGCATCAAAATCTACCTTCTTTTTTTTTTCTTTTCTAAATTTTATTATTTTGTGGGTGTACCATCAAATTGGATCTGACTGGTACAGGAGGAGATGGCCCCCCCTTCTCCAGCAAAATCTACCTTCTAACAGCTAATGACAATCTTTATGAAAGCAGATTGCCAGACCTTTCTTCCTAAGTGCTGCTTGCTAGGTTCAAACTGATAACCATTAGGTTAAGTTGTTATTAAGTGCCATGCCGTTGAGCATGACTCACAGCAGTCCCATGAACAACAGATCTGAACCCTGTCCTGGCCTGCTCCGTCTTTATCATCCCCAACACATGCGAGTCCATTGCCGCAGACACTGCCTCAATCCATCTCATTGAGAGTCTTTCTCTCCGTCACCGACCCTCCATTTTTCCAAGCATGATGTCCTTTTCCAACGAATAGCCTTTCCTTGTTGTTGTTTTTGTTGTTGTTTGGTGCTGTCGAATCGTAGACGACTCATAGTGACCCTATGAACTAAAGGCCTGAGCACTGTTCGTACATAGAGTTTCCGGAGGCAAGCCATTTCAGAAGTGGATGCCCCTCCTGCTTCTAGGCTTGTTTTAGTCGGGAAGCTCCAGCCAACACTGTCCACCATGGGTACCCATTACCACGATTGGCACATCACTGTCACAGTGTTCAGTATCACAGCAACCACAAGTTACCTCTGTACAGCAATGCACAGACCAGTGCTATACCACCTAGAAGAATGTTTGACAGGAAAACCATTTGAATCTGGCTGAGGGCCACAGATGAAAATCACCCACCTTCGGCTTGGTAGCATAACTTCCTTTCCACTAGGCCAACGTAGCTCTCTCTTTGTAGCCTTTCCTTACATGTCCAAAATATGTGAGATGAAGCTTCATCAACTGGGCCTCCAAGGAACATTCCAGTTGCATCTTCTCCAAGACATATCTGTTCTGTTGACAGTTCAAATTTACTCCCACCACCAAGGGACCTAGCAACACAACACAGAGGGATCTAAGCTTTGACAGGAGACTCCCAGGCAGAGAATGAGCCCTAATTAGCTGGAAAGCCAGTGGAGGCACGGAGGCAATGCCAATCCTTCTGAAGGGCTGGGAGTGTCTCCCTTCTGTACCTACGGTGGGATGATGATCCTGGATGGGAAAAACAAACACCAGGGTTGTGAATGGGATATTCCTGGTCCCTTACATCTATCTCTGTTTTACTCCACTGCCCAACCTCTGAGGAGCTCTGGTGAAGCAATGGCTAAATTGTTTGGCTACTAACCCAAAGGTTAGTAATTCTAATCCCCCAGGCACTCTGAGGGAGAAAGATGTGGCAGTCTGCATCCTTAAAAGATGGCACCCTGGTGAGCTCTGGTGGCCTAGTGGAAAGAAGTTGCACTGCAATCCCAGAGGTGCGTGGTTCAAACCCACCAGATGCTTTACTGGGGAAGGAGGAACAATCTCCTCCTGTACCAGTCAGATCTGATTTGATGGTATACACACACAAAAAAAATAATAAAATTTTTTAAAAAGATGGCACCCTTAAAGTCTTAAGGGGCAGTCCCACTCTGTCCTGCTGGGCTGCTGTGAATCAGAACCAACTGAATGAATGACAGTGGGCTTGACTATTGATTTCAGCTTCCAAGATCCCTGGGTGGCGCAAATGTTCTGCACAGGTCTACTAACCAGAAGGTTGGTGGGTTCGAATCCATTCAATGAACTTGGCAAACTGCTTCTGGGAGGATTACAGAAAGGAAGTGAGTCTAAGGAACAGTTCTCCTCTGTAATACATGGGGTCACCATGAGTTGTCATGGACTCACTGGCAACATGTTTATTAGGGTTTTTATTTGTTTGTCTGTTTTTAAGTCCAACTGTATGTGTCTTTCTCATCCAGACTGTAATGTGGGGACAGGCTGGGGAAAAGGATGTTAGCCAGCAACCTCAACAGCTGGGCATTTCCTAGGTGCAGAAGAGGAGTGGTTGTGTGCCATTGTATCAACATAGTAATGTACAGGGTAAGATAAAACTGCCCCACAGAGTTTCTGAGGCTGTAAATCTTTGCCGTTGTAGCCTGCCACCACCAGGCATTCCAATTAGCAGCCAAGCACTTAACCATTGTGCTACCAGGGCTCCTGAAGACTTGAAGTTTTCCAGCTCCTTTCACTTCACTTGAACTCATTCACTATGCTAGTTTCCTCTGACCTTGGCATTCTGGGGAACAGTCTCACCACCATGGCCAACACTCTGTTCACCTGGATGCTAGTAACAGCATCCAGGAAGGATGAAGAGATACGACGGTTGGGTAGGATGGTGGGCATGGAGAAGGGAGTGGATTTGACAGGTATTTTAACGGGCAGCTCTCACATCTAGGTTACAGACATCACAGCCTGCAAACCTCAGTCACCTTGACCCTGCCCACTCCCTGGCCCCACATCCTGTTGACTGTTTTGCACTATTTCTCAAATCCGGCCCCTCCTCTCCCTTTCTTGGTTCCTGTCCTTGCTGAGACCTCACACCACCCACCCCACTCTCCCTAGAGTGATTGCACTAGCCTCTCCTCCACACAACCCCCTCTCCAGCCTGCATCACAAGCACCTTTCTTTTTCAAACTAATAGCGAAGAAATGTGTTTGGTATCAATCTCTAAAAATGTTACTGTGTTAAATATGTTTAGGATGATGAGACTTGCTTCCCATATTTTGAGCATGTTATCAAGAGGGGCCAATCCCAGGGGAAGGACATCATACTTGGAAAAGTAGATGATCAGAGGGGAGAAAAAAGACCCTCAACAAGACAGATGGACACAGCTATTGCAACAGTGGGCTTAAGCTTGTGAAGTTGGCACAAGATTGGACAAAGCTTAACAACACCTAGACAGGTATGAAAAATATTTGCCAACTGAACATTTTTCCCATGTACAATTCAGGGAGATCAGTAAAACCATCTGAATCATGAGGGGTTTTTTAACTGGATTTTTAATGATGATGGTGATGTTAGCTGACATCGAGTCAATTGGCTATATGGTGACCCCTTGTGTGTCAGAGTAGAATGGCATTAAATAGGGTTTTCAAGTATGTAATCTTTCAGGAGCAGACTGACAAGTCTTTTTCCCAAGGCTCATCTAGTTGAGTTTGAATTAATAACCTTTTGGGTTTTTTTGTCTACTGCTTAATCATTTATGCTACCCAGAAAATGTAAAAAAAAAAAAAAAAAGAGTAGGAGACAGAAATTGTAATTCAAATAATACAAAAGAAAAAATCTTTCCCCCACTTGCATATTCTTTTTTTTTTTTTCAAGGGCAAGAGGGAATTTATTTCAGATTTGAATCCGGGCCACGCTCCAAACTCCACTTGCATATTCTTATGCTCCAGAGTTTTAATTCAGAGAACAGCTTCTAATGATGCTCTCTGCATATAAAAGTGCACAAGTACACAGAAAAATCTATGTCCGTCGTGGTTTTATTGTGTTTTGTTGTTGTTTAAGCTACTGCAAAAAGCTTTATTGTTTCATTTGGTCCAAGGCTTGGGCGATGGGCTTCTGGGTGGATACTTATCCATTGCGTTTTACACAGGACAATACAATGGCTGCTGACCCCCTCCACTCCGCAGGTGCAAAGGGCTAATCCTTGAAAAAGACCATCTTCCACCCTCCATCAAAAGGGCATCTCCATCCTGACATCCATGTATTAAGCTGAAGACGGCATTGAGCTTCTCATCCCCCATCTGGGTATCTCAACAGACCCATTCCAACTACGTGTATTTAAAATGTTGACGACTCTTACTAATTTCCCTCCAAAGAGCCCATAGGTCCGAACTAATATGATCTCTACAGTAAGAAAGCCGCTGTTTACCGCCTTTCTAGGGCTACTGGCGGGAAGAGCTGAAAGTGTCCCTTTCTGAGACTAGGACAGTGGGGTCTGACTTGGCACACAGACTCTAGAAGGTGCAGCCAGACCGCAGGTCCGCTCCAGCGTCCACTGCGCAGTCCAGCACCGCCCAATCCCCAGGACCCGCCCCTTGGTCCAGCGACCAATGGGAGCCCCGCCCCCAGCCCCGCCCCACTCTCGCGAGATCTGGCAGGGGCAAGCTAGTGCCGCCGTGAGCGCGCGCCCGCCCTGCCGAGAGAATCGACGCTGTCGCGGCTGGAGCCGATTTCGCCACCGGAGCAAGAGAGCTTATCTGAGTCGAAGATGGTGAGCGCGGCGCCGCGGATGCGGGCACACTGGCGCGGCGGGGACAGGCTGCGAACGGCACGTCGCGCGCACACACCCCTCTGGGCAGCCCCGCCCCCCACATCCGGGCACACTCCCTCCACCGGAGGACCCCCGCTCTTCGCCTACTTCCTGCCTGGGCCCCGCCCACAAGGCTTAGGCCACGCCCCGAACTCGCCTCCTTTGTACCCCTAACACCTCCAGATTAGTCTATACGGCCCCATATAGGAGTTTCTATAGAAACTCCTTCCTCAGTCCTTTTGGCCGTCTGGCTCCTTTGTCATTTCCCTACGCGCATCCATTCCAAAGCCTTTGTAGCCCACTACCTGGAGGCCACGCCTCTGGGGCCGCCCACCTAAGTTGGAGAAGGGATGTTTGCTGCGCTCCTAGGGATAAATCTTAACAGGTATATCTTCCGCATCAGGGACACCTCTCAACTCCCTGCCAAGGACGAACCAGAGGAGAGTTTTAGGAGGCTTCATCCACCCTTACCCAGTGCCCTCGGTGCAGTAAAGCTTCTAGAATGATGGGCACAGTGCGTTTGACAAGGTGGTTCCTTGGCTGGTCCAGGCCACACCTGGATCCTGAAGGGTTCTGTTTGCTTTTCTCCTCCCACCAGGAGGAAGAGCCCTTGGAACTGAGCCTGGATATGCCCACCACCGCGGAGCCCCTCTCCAGCGAGACGGACAAAGAGGTGGTGTCCCCAGTTGTGGCCAGTGGGTCCGGCATCCCCATGGGGGATGAGCCAGGCCCTGACCGGGCAGCCACTCCCCCAGTGTGGGGACTTGGAGGACCTGCAGGGGACAGCACTCAGCCCATCCCTGGACCTAGCCCCGGCACAGTGTCTGGGACCACTGAAGACCTGCGACCTCCCAGACGTCGCCCGCCACCAGGTGACCTGTGAGGGGACCTTGAGGAAGGGGCCACAGACCTCGGAGCAGTGGGATGCAGGTTGTCTCTCAGCCCAGATCCCATCTAGAGGAATATCACCCATCATTTACCAACCACCAGCTGTATGCAGGCCACCTTACCCCTGCCCTCTGACATCTCAGTCTGGTGGCCAGGGCAGAGGGCGATTCTGGCCTTCTCAGTGCTTCCCTGGGGCAGAGTCCCGCGGGTGGGGGTAGAGTCGGTGAGAAAGGGACCAGCGAACCCTCTCCCCCACCTCCCGTTCTTTGCATTCTGCAGGGAAGCAGGTCCCCTGCTCCAGTCCAGGCTGCTTCCTCAGTTTCTCCAGTGTGCGGGACCTGGCGCAACATCTTCGAACCCACTGCCCGCCCACACAGTCCCTGGAAGGTAAGACGAAGCTAGGGAAGAACCCTCCCCTCCCCGTCCCCCCCCCCCCCGCCCCCGTCCGCCAGCCTGGACACCTCGCTCATTCCCCTGCCCACCTTCTAGGCAAGCTCTTCCGATGCTCGGCCCTGAGCTGCGCGGAGACCTTCCCCAGCATGCAGGAGTTGATGGCTCACAGCAAGCTGCACTACAAACCCAACCGCTACTTCAAGTGAGACCCCACCCCATGTCGCAGGGTATCGGGGTAGGAAGAGTGCTGGTGCCAGAAGCTCTGCCCACTCCTACTGCACCAGGGGCTATTGAGTCCCCAGCCTTTTACTACTGTGGAGGGTGGGTCTGCGTGTGGGCGTGGCTTCGTGAAGACCTCCACTCTCATTGGCCCAAAAAGGCCACCCTTACGTGAGCATGGCCCCGCCCAGCCTCCCTGGAGGACCTAGATGGAAAGCGCGGGCCTAAGTCAAGGTTGAGACGTCCTTCCTCGTTTTCCCAGGACGCGGAGGGGGCGAGAATGGTCGAAGCCACAGTAGGGGGGCGCATAGGGCAAGCTGTCTAGGCCCCGTCCCGCAGGTGGAGGATCTGCCACCTGTGACTGTCACCCCCCCCCCCCCCCCCCGTTGTCCCACCAGCACGCTGCCGGGGCGGAGCCTGTGCGGCGTCGGGGGAAGCCCCGCCCCGTCACCCAGAGGCCCCGCCCCGCCCTGTGCCCCGCCCCAGGTGTGAGAACTGCCTCCTGCGCTTCCGCACGCACCGCTCGCTCTTCAAGCATCTGCATGTTTGCGCCGAGCATGCGCAGAGCCCAGCCCCGCCGCCGCCGCCCCCCGCCCTCGACAAGGAGCCGCCGGCGCCCGAGCGCCCCCCGGAGGCCGACTCCGCGTCGGCGCCCGGCCTGCCGCTGCCCTTGCTCGAGCCCTTCACGACCCCCGCCCCGACCCCCGCCGGCCCCTTCCTACCCTACTTGAACCCCGCTCCCTTTGGCCTGAGCCCCCCACGCCTACGCCCCTTCCTGGCCACCGCGCCCGGGCCGCCCACCTCCAGCGCCGCCGTCTGGAAAAAGAACCAAGGTGAGTGGGGGCGGGGCCACTCGAAGGGGCGGACCCAGCTTCCCTCCTCCCCGCCCCTCCGATCTCTGGCCTGAACCCCCGCTCTCCACGCAGGTGCCAGCGGCAGCCCCCGGAAGCCCCAGGGCGGCGCCGAAGCGTCCTCAGGTGCGTGCTGGTGACCACCAGGGAGGGATGGAGGGGCTTCGTCCTGCCGTGGCCAGGTGGCCGTAGGGGGCGGCAGTGCACGTCTCCTGCCCCGGGCGCCAGCTGCGCCCCCGAAATACAGGCTGTTTGCCCCTAAAACGGCTGCCACCTGCGATTTCATCTGCGCCGGCGGTTCCGCGGAGACCCCTCCCGGTCGCTCGGGTAGTCAGGTTGGAAAGGGCCCGCAGGCCCGGGGTGACCGGTCGCCCGCCCGCCCGCAGGGCACGCGGCCCCGAGCCGCATCGTGTGGGAGCACACGCGCGGCCGCTACTCGTGCATGCAGTGCGCCTTCTCCACCGCCTCGCGACCCGCCATGACGCTGCACCTGGAGGACCACCGCCCCACGGGCCCCGCGCCCGGGCCGCCCCGCCCCGACAGCCCGGCGGGTAAGGCAGGGACCGTGGGAGGGCGCGGGGCGGGTGGGGGCCGAGGCTCAGGCGCCCCTCCTCTCGCCGCCCCAGACCCGGCCCCGCTTGCGCCCAAGGTGCCGCCGACACCGCCACCACCGCCACCGCCGCCAGAAGGGGAGCGTCCGGTTTTCTTGCCGCTCTGACCAGTGGCCGCCTTTGGGGGGGGGGGGTGAGGGCCTTGAGTAGTGTTGTGATTGGGGGGGACAATAAAGGAACCGCTCTGAGCCGGCACGTGTCTAGGTCCCTTGGCCCTGTGGGCCCAGTAAGCCAAGTCTGGCCATCGGGCGAGCACAGCATCCTGTGCCCAGGATCGTCGCCCTGCCGTCCAGGCCACCCCAGCTGGTATAGAGAGGGGCCAGTGTCCCACCACTTCCACAAACCAGATGTGATAGTTTACAGGAAAAGTGCCCAGTCAACCTAGCTGGAGAATCGGGGTGGGGGGATCCTGGGCAGTACAGGCCTGGTAGAGCTGGACGCTCAGGCCGCCTTGTCCTTGGCTGCCAGACTCCGCTGCTTCCCCCACCTTGCTCTGAGGTGGCATCAGGGTTTGCTATCTCCTTTGTACTCCAGACATGGGAACCTCTTCTCTTTCATGGGAAGACAGGCCATCTGGGGTACACAGTGTCCCACTTTCAACAGAACCTACGTGGCCAGACCCCCTGGGTCAGCATGCAGCCATGCCTCGTTCACAGCTGGTTTCAACACCCGTGGCACGCTTCCTTCCCACCACCCTCTCTCCTCTGTCCCCCCAGCCTGAAGACCACTAGAGACCATTTCTGTCCGCTGGCCAGCGCCCTTCAGTGACTCCACACACATTCAGTGAAGTTCTATGCTCACAGTAGCCCACAAGACACCATCTCTTTGACAACTGGCCACCACACTCAATAGATCCCTCCTCCTCTGAGTATGTGAACCCAGGGCAGAGAGCTCCTCTCAGTTCTTCCGTGGAGTTTTCTCCTTCATCCTCCTGTCTGCCGCCACGAAACAAACCTCTTTGCACCACCTCCTTGGCCCTCCCTCACCAGTTCCTCCCTCTGCCACTTGGTCCTCCAGTATTCGCACCTGGGGCGCAGCCACCTGGCATCACATCTGTCCAGGTAGACCAGCTGGGCAGCAGTAAAGAGCTGGATCACCTCACAGTTGGACAGGGCTAGGGTGGGCAGTGGGGTGGAGAAAGGCTTGGGTACCTGGATGTAGGACCACTACTATACCCCGTTACAGGATTCAGGGCCACAGCATCCTTGACGTGGCTGCTTCTGAAGTTCAGGTGGGTCAGGTCAGGGGTCTGCGCTGCCAGCACCTCAAAGTCTCCACTGAGCCCATTATTGCTCAGCTCCAGCTGTGGGGTGGCAAGCTGGGCCTCCCGGATCTCCCAGGCCTCCTAGCTGTGGCCTGGGAAAAGACTGCTGCCCTGAACCCCGCCTTCCTAGTCCTTAGAGTAGATGTCAAAGTGCTCAAGTCTTTATTAAGAGGCATGAAAGGGTCAGAAGTTTGGGAGGTAACTGCGGAGTGATCTTCATCCCTCCCTCTACAGATCTGCAAGCTGTGCTGACTGGGCCTTGCTCTGATGGGTGAGGGGGGCAGACCTGGCTCACTGTGGGGTCGGCCCAGTTATCACCACCCTTCCACAACAGAAGCCCAGAGTGGGCCTTTGAGGTACCCCCTCATTTGCACCCATGCCTCTGGGATGCCCCCCCAAATATGGTTGTAGTCCCAAATGCACCCTTACCCAGAGACAGGGTGTTCCAGGCCTACAGCCCCTCTCCAGGGTTCCAGGGCTCCCTGCTCCATTGCAGTCAAGTTAATTCCAACTTCTGGAGACCCTCATGCATTACAGAACAAGGAAACCATAGGGCTTCCTCAGTTATAACTGTGATGGAAGCATATTGCCAGGCCTTTCTTCCGTGGCACCACTACAGGGGTATAAATTGCCTGCCGTCCTTTCAGTTAGTGGTCACAGTGATAACCATTGTGCCATAGGTGCTCCGGTGGCACGTAATCACCATGGTCCCATCATCCTGCACCTAACCCTGCAGGGCCCATCACAGCCCAAATCCACACATGCCTTGGCCCAAGGAACGTCCCTTAATCTGTCACCCAGGTATAGGGAATGGCTCCTAGCTGCCCTTTGGATCAAGCTGGCACTCTGCTCTATCCCTGGGGAAGTGGGTCAGGACCTGGCCTCCACTGATGACGGTGTCCACTCTGCAGACTCCTTCCTGCCCACGCTCCCTCCCTCATGATCAACTCTTTTTGGAGCTGCTATGTACAGAGGTCCCCCAAGGTCAGGAAGTCCTGAAGGGAAGTCCACCCCACTCCCCGCCCAGCAGGGGACACACAGGAGTCTGAGGACAGTGACACGACCCTGGGCCCGCCTTTCAGAGCAGGGCCAAGGTGGCCAATGACTGCAGGTACAAGTTCCTCCCGCTGAGCCTCTGCAGAAGGTCCTTTTAATCTGACCGTGGAGTCGGCCAGGTGCCTGCCCTTCTGAGAACTGTCCACCACCAGCTCGGCCATCTGTTGCCAGCTGAGCACGGGAAAGGGGCAGGTCCTGGGCGCGTTCTGAAACCTAGCCCGCACCCGCGGTCCCGATCAGCCTCCATTCCAAGCTCCTGGCTTTGCTGCCTCAACCCCTCTGCACAGCCGCGGTCCACCCGCTCAAGTGCTCAGACCACCCTAGACCTAAGCAGCCACGGGCAGTCCCAGAAGACCAGGTGCTTCCGCTCTGCCTGCGTTCACACCTGGGGCGTCCTCAAGAGCTCTGGGCTAGCGCCCCTGAAGCCACCCTCCCCAGGGCCGATCCTGCCTCGCCCAGGCTTCTGCTGCTTCCCGACTCTGACTCCCTAGTTCCATCAGGAGTTGTTTGTCCACGTGCCTCCCCCCACCCCGCTTTTTGTCCACGTGGGGACCCCTGGGCCCCGCCCCCAGCTCCAAGGAAGGAGCTTGCGCACGAAGCAGGGGCCGTGCGCCCCCTGCCGGCCGTGCCGTGACTGCGCGCCAGCCCCGCGCGCACCGCCCGCTGGCGCCCCTGCCGGCCGCACGGGCAGTCAACAGCGGTCAGCGCTTGGCCGTCCTTGTTGGAGCCTCCATCCACTCTATTTACCGCTAGTCTTGTTCGTTCTTGAGTCCTCACACTTTCCAATACTCCATCCAGTGCTCTGGTGACCAACCTCAGCTGACTCAGACTGAGACTCAGAAGACCTTAGAGGAGCTCCAGCTAGGAGGGAACCCCCATACTTGGAAGTGGGTGAGAAGGTCCCAGAATTCCACAGCAGTGCTCTTAGCACTGTGTGTTCCATTCCTCTGGGCCGGATGAAGGCAGAATGCAGCACCCTCCCGGCAGAAGCTCCGGATCCGCAGCCCTGCAGCCCCAGCCAGCCCCTCATGGACCTCAGTCAGAGTGCATTTTACAGGTTTTTGGTGCTTCTCAGAGCTGCATTGAGTGTCCACCCCACCGGGGCTCACACAGGGATGGGGGCCTCAGCAGTTGTCTGACTACCAGTCCAAAGGTGGGTGGGTTGGATGCATGCAGAGGTGCCACAGAAGTCTGATCTGGAAGGGTCATGCCCAATAAGGGGTGACCAGCACCCCATCACTAAAGCAAAGGAAGACGTGTTGAAGTATTGAAGGATTCACAGACATAAGAATTACAGGGGGAAAGTGGGCAAAGTGCAATCCATTGTTGGTTGTTATGTGCCATCCACTCACCTGCGACTCATAACAACCCTATGTACAGCAGCCCTAAACCCTGCTCTGTCCTGTGCCAACTTCACTGTCTCCACTACCTTCATTACCGCAGTCACTGAATTAATCCACCTCATAGAAGGTCTTCCTATCCTGTGCTGTCCCTCCACCCTCCCAAGCATATGAGATAGAAGCTATCAGATCAAGGGCTGGACAATGGGAGATAGGTGTGGAAGGGGATGCTGGTGGATGGTGGAGCAGGAAAATGGGTGGGTCAAGACACTTGTGGGGCCAACACTGAAACTATTGGTTAATGCCACAATTGGGGAAATACCTTTCATCTGCTTTTTTTTCCTGTAAAATGCTTGTCTGTCAGATACTTTTCTAAATCTGTGCATTCAGATTAAGACAGACTAGGAAGAAGGATTGGCCATCCATTTCTGAAAACCCTATGTACAATAGCAATCCATTGGAGGCCTTGAAATTAAAGTTCTAAAATGCACGTGAATTATTGGGTGGAAAATTAATTTGCATTGTAAACTTTCACTTAAATAACATTAGTTTTAAAATCAGGCCTGGAGATCTGATTCCTGAATGCTCTGAAAAACCTTAGGGAACACAGCTGCATCCTGCAGAGTCACTGCGAGTAGAACTGACAGCAATGAACAGCTAGCCCAAATACTGGCAGTTCAAACCCACCCATAGTGCCGTGGAAGAAGCAAGGCCTGGCAGTCGGCTTTCAGATGGCTTGTGCAGCCAAGGAACAGCCTATGGGAGCCGTGGTTCTCTGCACACCATCCACACTACACCCAGAGCAGAGTAGGCAGAATCTGTGAAGAAAGGGTTCTGACCTCCTTTCCACTCCTCAGTCGGAGCCCACAGAGACGCTGACCTGGGACAAGCTAGTGCGGTTAGCACACCCTTCTCTGGCTGGACTGCTTCCTTCATCACCCCCAGCCCCCTCCTAACCCTGTCTCCTCTGCTTCCTCCCTACCCCTACCCCCCCACACACACCTTCCACCTTGAGATCACAGTGTTCTCCAGCGACTCCCTCCTTCCCTCATCTACCACCCCCACCAATCCACCCTACCCCCTGCCAATGCCATCCCCAGCCCCCTGGCCTCTCAGTGTGACAGGCAATCTGAGCTGGGAAGCAGCCAGCAGGGAAGTGTCGAAATGAGGAAGGCAGAGGCCCCTGAGGCAAGAGGGCAACCCTCCCCCTCCGCTGCCAAGTCAGCCAGGGGACCCAGAGCCCCAGATCTAGGGGGCCCTTCTCCCTCCCAGGACACCCTACTGGAGACTTTCAACCCTGGCATATAAGACCTAGCAGAGCCAGGGGAGGATGATAACAGAGTGAGGCTAGGGCCTCCGTGGGGCTTGTGCTACTCTCCAGCACATATAGCTCAAGCACAGCCACAAAAGAGGGGACAGGGACTTGTGGGATCTGAGGACCTAGGGCTGGGGAGGCCCCGCCCCCTCCTTCCTCCTCTGCCCTCCTTCCCCTTCGGCTGCCCCCAACCTCTGCACTGGCTCAAGCAGAAGCTGGTTATTTCCTGAAGGCAACAGTCTGCTGCATCCCTCGCACTGTGCAGCCCACCATCCACCTGCAGCCATGGTGAGTCCCCATCCCAGGAGACCCTGCACCTGTGGGAGCCACAAGGGGAGATGCGGGGGGGGGGGGGAGTCAGGCAGCAGCCAGGCCTTCCTGTGGGGTGGCAGAGTGGGTCACACACTGTCCCCTCCCCTCCTTATCTCCCTGTAAACCAAGCCACAGCCTGCTGACCTAGACTTGTCAGGCCCTGTGGCCACTAGCAAGGCCTGGTCACAGTTCACCAGGAGTTCAGCTAGAGGTGACTTGGGCCCTGGGCAGGCGTCCTCACCTTTCCAAGATGGCCCTTACACCTTGACTCTCAGGACATGGTCAGGGATGCAGAGTGAAGCGAAAACCAGGCTAGACTCCCACAGAAGCCAGGCTCAGGGTCTGATGCAGGGTCACTGGCATATCTGTAGGTCACGGAGGGCCCGTGCCTGTTGCCATCGTCCAGCACAGCAGTGCAGAGCCAGCCACTCAGGGCCAAGGGAGAGTGGCCAGGGTCTGCTAGCCCTGATGGTTGTGCAGTGCACCCTAGCTTGCCCAGGTCCTGTGCTCCTCTGCACATATCCACATGTGTCTGTGCCACTCATTCAGGCTGCCTTTGGCCAAGAAGTTGCCTTTGTGGCTCTGTAGATACACTTCAGAAGTGAGCATTATTTACCGAGCACCTTTTCCAGGATGGACACTCTGATGAACATTCTGATTCAGAACTCATCTCCTACCAAGGGCGGAGGGTGGGGTATAGACAAAAAACACATGACAGAATTGTCAGGATATTAAAAAATGTGTGTTCATGTGTAATAGACTGGAGAGTGGCTAAGGGTAGTACTGACAGAAAATAAAAGCCAGTTGCTGTCAAGCTGCCCGAGGCTCAGTGGCTCTGTGTGTGGCCCTTGTGTGTCAGGCTGGACAGAGAGCCAAGTTTCACTCCCGAGGCATTTTCAGATAGATGCTAAGCACTGTATGTTCGGATTGCAGCAGATAAACTGTTTATACTGCAAGGAAGTCAAGCAGTTGCCAACAAGTGGATTCCGACTCGGAGCAGAACAATGTTTCTTGTTTCCAGTGGGTGCACTTTCGGACGTAGATCTCCAGGTCTTTCTTCTGAAGTGCCCCTGGGTGGATCTGAACCACCCACTTCTCGGCTGGTAGCTGAACATTTCATCATTTGCACCACCCAGGGCGTGGTCATGGGAGAATCACTTTCAAACCTGGACTGGCGTAATCGGGGCGGGTGTGTCAGAGGCAACGCAACTGGCGCAGGATAGAGCAGGGGTTAGGGCTGTTGTACATAGGGTCACTATGAGTCACAGGCGACTCGATGGCACATAACAACAACTGGGGAGGTGGCAGGGATGGCCTCTCTGGTAAGGAAATATTGGAAGAAAGGGAGAAAGTGGGGTGAGACTGAAGTGTGGCAGTGAGTGGAGTGAAGTTTCAAGGAGGTGATGGAGGAGAAACCTCACACCTGATGAGGTGTTTCAAGGGCACCTCCCAGGGAAATGACAGAGCCTTGCGGAGGTCTCCAGTGTTCGCTGGGGACCCGAGCAGCCACAGCAGGACTGGAACTGGAGGGGAGGATGGACTGGGGTAGTCAGGGAAGGGGCCATGAGGGCCTGTATTGGATAAAATGATCCTCGACAGATAACAATGGTGGAGATGGAGAGAGGTGGTTGGATACTGATGCACTTAGAAGGTGAAATGACAAGTTCTAGGGAGAAGGGAGTAAGAGAGAGGGAGGTCAAAATATTGAGACAATACCACCTTGTAGGGGCAGCAGCCTGAGTGATGGGGGCTCGACTCCTCTATGTGGGGGTCGGGGAGCAGGAAAGGTACACTAGGGTATAGTTATTGGATCCTGTGGCTTTGGGAGGAGTCTCTAGGTGCTGCAAACAATTGAGCAGCTTCTAGCTACAAGATTAGTGGTTAAAACCAATCCAGGGAGACTTACCAGAGGTCTGGAGATGTGCTTCCGAAAGGTCATCCTTTAAGCTGGTACCGAGCAGGGATACTTTGCACACCCATGGGGTCACCATGAATCAGGATGACTCAGTAAGCCACTGGCTTAGCTTTATTTGGTTTAGGGCTCAGGCGGAGGCTGGAGAAAACATAGGGGGGGGCCTTGAAAGAGAAGAGAGACCTGAGGGCGGGAAGAGGAAACAGCCTGGAAGGAGTAGAGGGGGAGGGTGTCTGTGACAGTGTCTGTGTCCCCTAGACCCTCTGTGTGTCCCGTAGGAAGACCATCAGGACTTTCGGAGCCTCCAAGCAAAGTTCCAGGCTTCCCAGTCAGAGTCCTGTGAACACCCCAGGAAACCCCCAAAGCCTGACTTCAACAAACTGCCAAAGACATTTCCACAACCTGAGTCAGGAGAACATCCTAGGAAGCCTCTGCAGCCTGAGTTCAGCACAGGCACCAAGAAGTCCCCGCAGCCAGAGTTCAGTGCAGGCCCGAAGAAGTTCCCACCACTTGAGGCCTGTCCACTTCCCAAAAAGCTCCCAAAGCCTGAGTTCAGTGAGGCCCTCCGGAAGCCCCCGCAGCTGGAGCCCAGCCCCATCAGGCCACCTTCAGAACCCAAGTTCAGTGGTTTCCCGAGGAAGCACTGGCCCCCCGAGACCAGCGAGACCATCCTGAAACCCCCACAGCCTGAGTTCACCGATGACACCCTGAAGCCCTCACAGCCTGAGTTCAATGCAGGCACAAAGAAGCCCCCACAACCCGAGTTTACTAGTCACCCCTTGAAACCCCCAAAGCCCTCGCAGCTCGAGTTCAGCAGTCACCTCCAAAAGACCGTGAAGCCTGAGTTCACAGATGACCTCGTGAAGCCCCCGAAGGCCAAGTTCATGGATGACCTCATGAAGCCCTTGCAGCCTGAGTTCACTGATCACTCCCGCATGCCCTCACAGCACAAGTTCAGTGCAGGCCCTAAGAAGTCCCCAAAGCCTGAGTTTACGGATGACTCTGTGAAGCCTCAACAGCCTGAGTTCACCAATCACCCCCTTAAGTCTCCACAGCCTGAGTTCACTGAACACTCCCGAAAGCTTTCACAGCCCAAATTCAGTGCAGGCCCTAAGAAGTCCCCAAAGCCAGAGTTCACTGATGACCTCATGAAGGCCCTGCAGCCCGAGTTCACTGATTACCCCCGAAAGCCCCTGCAGCCTGAGTTCACCAGTCACCCACTGAAGCCCCTGCAGTCTGAGTTCACTGATCAGCCCCAGACACCCTCACAGCTTGAGTTAAGCGCAGACCCCCCGAAGCCCCCACCATCCGATTTCACCAGTTATCCCCCAAAGCCCCGGCAGTCCGAGTTCCCTGATTACCTCCCAAAACCCCCACAGTCTGAGTTAAGCACAGGCCCTCAGAAGCCCCCGAACACCCGGAAGCCTTCACAGCCAGAGTTCAGTGCAGGTCCTAATAAGTCCCCACAGCCTGAGTTCACCAGTCACCCACTAAAACTCCCAAAGGCCAAGTTCACGGATCACCCATGGAATCCCTCACAGCCCGAGTTTGGCGCAGGTCCCCAGAAGCCCCTGCAGCCCAAGTTCACTGATCACCTCCAAAAGGCCCCACAGCCTGAGTTCAGCATAGGCCCCCAGAAGCCCCTGCAGCAAGAGTTCACAGATCAACCCCGGAAGCCCCAGCATCCCGAATTCATGGATCACCTCCACAAGACCTCGCAGCCCGAATTCAGTGAGCCCCTGCAGACACCACCTTGGAGGCCAGAGCCCAGCGAGCCCCAGCCTCACTCCTGGAAGCCTGAGTCGGGTGCATTTCCCAGGAGGAGCCCACAATCACAGCCAGCCAACCACCCAGGGAAGCTCCATCAGCCTGAGTTCGGTGATCTCATCCGAACAGCCTCGGAGCCCGAATTCCCTGTGTTTCCCAAGAAGCCACAGCAGCTCGAGTTCCAGGCGCTGCTCAAGGCGCCGCAAGTAGAGTCAGGCTCCCTGCCCAGGACGACCTCGGAGCCCGAGTTTCGCTCACTGCCCCGCAAGTTCCCATCAGACGCCTGTGGACCAGCTCGGAAGTTCTCCCAGCCCGAGGTCGGTGCCCTGCCTGGGAAGCCGACCTCTGGCGAGTTCATCCGGGGCCTCCCCCGAAAGCCCCCACTCCCCAGTTCTGTCTCAGAGAGCTCACTGCCCACTGCTACGAGGGGCACTGGGTCCCGATTCCCGCCCAGCCCTGGATTCAGAACCCACCTGGGGAGGCAGCAGCCGCAGAAGGGGTCCCTCACTCACAGGAGCAGCCTGAGGTTGGGCCACCCACCCCGGCACAGGCCTCTGCCCTCTGCCAGCACCCTGGGACCCCCTCCTCCCAAGCCCCCGCTGCCCCCAGGCCCCCTGGACATCCAGAGCTTTCGAAGACCCTCGGCGGCCTCAGGTGGGTCAGGGTGTCTGGGCAGGAGGGCCCTGGCACTGGGGACCAGCCTCCTGCCTCTCTGCTCTCCACAGGCCTGCACAGGAGCCGCTCCGCTGCCGCCATCCACATCCAGGCCCGACGGCCAGCAGGCAACCCCGAGTGAGTGTGGGCACCGGGTGGGTGCAGGCGCAAGGGTGAGGGCGTGGATACGGCCCTCAACTCAAGTGTCCTACAGAGACTCAGATGAGATCTACGAGGTCTACGATGATGTGGAGCAGGAGAACTCCAGCCCTGGACCCAGGAGCAGAGGTTGGTGCGAGGTGGGATCCCCACTCTGCTGTGGTCACACTTGGGGGGGGTGCCCTAGCACACTGGAAGCCTCTGCTGGGAGGGCATCATCAGCCCAGCGCCTGTGGTTGGTCCAGCAACAAGCTAAAGAGAAACGGGCAGGAGGTCTGCGCCCCAGGCTGGCGGAAAAGGCCCAGCAGCCCCCGCAAGCTGGGGACACGCAGAGCAAGAGGAATGTCCCAGGACCTCAACCTCCAGCTGGCTGGACATGGAGGCGGCTCTGCCTGGCCTCCTCTGTGGCCCTACCTCAAGAGTACTGGCCGTACACTCCCTGCCCAGCCTCCTTCCTGCGGCGGCTCTGGCGTCCCAAAGGCCCTTCTGTCGTCTCCCCCCCCACCCCCCACCCAGTCTCTGTTCCCAGTGAGCTGGACGAGGCTTCCAGCCCATCGCTGCTGGCTCATTCCGCCACCGTCACGTGGTAACAGACCGTTCCACACGGCACGTTCCCAAAGTAGTGACTCACTGTTAAGTGAAGGAGCGCTGGTGGCCAAGTGGATGTGCATTAACGGAAAGGCTGGTGTCTCACTCACCAGCCAGCCCAAGACGGGCATCTGGCCACCTGCTTCCATAAAGACTACAGGAGCCTAGGATGAACCTGGGGCAGTCTCACTGCTGTCACACAGGGTCACTGTGTGGCCACGTGGACTTAATGGCTGGGTTTTCAGTTACTCCAGCTCCTGCCAGCCCCGTGTGACACAGGAGAGCTGCCCTCAGGGCTTTCTAGGATGTTATCTATTTGCAGGGAAATCAACAGGTCCTCCTGGTCCCTTGGAGGCATGGGGTCGGTTTGAACTTCTGACTTGGTATCAGCCCAGGTCATTTACTCTTTTGTTATCCGGGCTCCTTCCCCAAGGCCCTCCCCACTTCACCGAAGGGGAAGCCCCAGGATCTGAGAATTACTTGCAGTAAGCAGAGCCTCTTTCTTGTAAAGGGCCTCCAGAGAGACGAGGACGCAGCCCTTGAGGTGCAGCCTACTGTCTCTGCCCCTGCCTGTGCTCCTGGCAAAGAGCAGGCATCAAGCTGTCCAGCAGTTCTGCCCTCTCGGGCCCCTTCTGCTTCTCCCCGGCTCCCCTTGGTTACTTGCAACACCCTATGAGCACACAGCTTCCTGGAAGGGCCTCTCCTGCTTCCGCAGCCACGAGGTTTGGCTCTATGGACCTCACTTGGAGAGTGTGGCCTATGAGAAAGGGCCATTGCTGACCCTGGACTCAACTGCCACATGGCGTTTTGTCCTGGATTCTCCCCTTCAAGGCCCTGTGTAGAGTGACGTTATAGGTCCCAAAGGTCTGTCCTTCCATCATAAGAGGCCGCAGCAACTGCACCCTCCTCCTCCACTTTGCCCTCTCTAGAAGAGTTGGGAGCTCCTCCAGGCGGAGCAGGGAAGGCAAGATGTGAAGGTGGTCTGCTTGGGGTCACAGGGCCAGAAGTGGCCAGGCTAAAGCTGACCCAAATCTGCCCTGCCCACAGGCTGCTGGGGTATTGGGGGGGGGGGGGTGGTGACAATGGAGGTGTCTGTGCCCTGGCATTCTGGAGCCAGTCTCAACAGAAGAGGTAGGAGCTTCTAGAGGGATGGTGTTTTGTCAAGAATCATGCCCAGGCCAGAGGAGCACAGCAGCAGGCAGGCATACAGAAACTATGCTTGTTGGGTCTAAGGCTGCCTATGAGAAACGTGCAGAACCTTCCAGAACAATTCAAGTCCACAGATCGCCATTGCATGGCTGACCTGGGCCAGCTCATCTCGGGAAGGGCCTACTACTGTTGACCCAAGCTTTGAGTCTGCAGACCCTGGCCCTGGGTCAGGGACTGAAGAGGGCCAAGGGCAGCACGCCCACCTTGACCTGTAGGGGCCGTGGTCTCTGCAGTCCACAGGGAGCACAGTACAGTGAGGAGGCGATTCAACAAGGATGCTGTTGAGGCTGAGAGGAGGGACCCTGAGAGGCCCCAGGGTTCTGGGAGCTTTCCTCACAGATGTTTAGCAGCTGGAGCTACTGACTGGCAGGGCTCCTGACCAGGCCAGCTCACCTGGGGCCCTCCCAGTTCCTCTCAGAATTTCTAGGTTTTACTTTTAACCCCGTCTCATTATAGCTCCCAGAATGCAACCTGCTCTAGAAGTGAAATGCCTTATTATTTTGTACCATCAAGCTGTGTCTCATGGCAACCCTATTAACAATGGATCTGAACCCATCTTTACCATCTCAAGATGCACATGAACCTATTGTCACAGGCACCATGTCAATCCATTTTGTTCAGGGTCTTCCTCTCTTAAGCTGACCCTCTATCTTTCCAAGCATGATCTCCTCCTCCAAGGGCTGGCCTCTCCTTACATGTCCAAAGTATTTGAGACAGTTCCACCATCCTTGCCTCCTGTGAGTATCCTGGTTTCACGTTCTCCAGGCCAGACCTGTTTGTTCTCTTGGTAGCACATTAACCATGTGTCTAGTCCTGCCCGCTCAGGCTGCTGCCTGTGCCAGGATACGCTGTTGGCTAGGTTTGTCCTGCCTCCTCAGAAAGGTGGGAACAATGGTGTGTCACCTGCTCTTGTGAAGTTGCTGTGAGGATGGGAGTTTGTGTAGCAAAGCATTAGGAAGGTAGCAGGATGAGGAAAGCCAAGATGCAGCCCACGAGGACCCAGAGAAGACCCTGGATAGGATTGGAAGCTGGCAGCTCTAGGCTCAGTGTTCTGGGGTCCCTTCCTCCTCAGGTGAAGTGCCAACTCCACAGCAGCCCCCGCAGCGGCCTCCAGTGGATCCCAAGCTCAGGTAGTGTGGCCCTGGGTATAGCACAGGCCAGGGTTGAGGCCTGGGGACACAGTGGGCTACTCAAGAGAAGCTCATTAGTATCCTAACTCCTCTTGGTGGGGGGGATCAGCAAGGAAAAAGCTCCACCAAAACTGCAGTTGCCAACCTTGGACCCAAAGATACTGAAGCAGATGCGGAAGGCAGAGAAAGCGGAAAGAGAGTTCCGGAAAAAGTTTAAGGTTGGGATACAACCTAACAAGAGTGCTGGGTGGGCTGGGTTCAGCCCTCAGAGGACCTGGGTCCCCACAAGGTAGCATCCAAGCACAAGCCTCCAATTATAACCCCTTAGTTTGAGGGGGAGATTGTGATTCAGACAAGGATGATGATTGACCCTGCTGCCAAAACACGTCGAGGAGGTGGCAAGCACCTGGGAATCCGGCGTGGGGAGATCCTGGAGGTGATTGAGTTCACCAACAAGGACGAGATGCTGTGCCGGGACGCTAAAGGCAAATGTGAGTGAGAAAGCAGGGCAGGGCAGGGGTGTGTGTGTGTGTGTGTGTGTGTGAGAGAGAGAGAGGGAAAGGGAGAGACACAGAGAGACAGAGCAGGGTCGGTGTGTATGACAGCAGGGCCGGGGGTAGGGGTGGGTGTGTGTGAGAGAGAGAGACACACACAGCAGTGGACACTCACCTCTCTCTGCCTCCTCTCCAGATGGCTACGTGCCCAGGATAGCTCTGCTCCCCCTGTGAGTAGTGGCCCTGCAGGGTGAGGGAGGTGGTGGTGATACAAGAGGCTGAGGTAGCTTCTTACTGACCTGTGTTTTCTGCCAGGGAAACGGAGGTGTATGACGACGTCGGTTTCTGGGGTATGTAGAGAGGGTCAGCGCAGATAACAATGCAGCAGGAATGGGCTCGCCCAACCCACTGCCTCCAGAGGGGCTGGCTCAGGCTCACAGGAAGCCCTTCCTCCACAGATCCCCTGGAGAGCCAGCCACTGCCTCGGGGGCAATGAGGACCACAGTAATGGACACCCAGCAGACCCAGACCCAGAGCCCTGACAGCAGGAGAGCTGAGCAGTGGGTGCTGCCCAGGTTCATCTGGCCACTCAGACACAGAGCCTATAAAGCCCATGAACATGAGCCTGCTTTGTGTCTTTCATTACATGGGGTGAAGTAGAAGTATAGGAATCCAACAAGCCAGACTGCCTGGCCCTCACTTCTCCAGGACCAGGGCAAGGAATAAGGAGAAAGGTGAGAGAGAACGGTAATAGACCCTTCTGCCAAGGCCAACAGCTGGGGGAACAAGGGAGCAGTGTCGGAAATCAGACGGTGTGGAGGCGGACAACAGGGGACACAGCCCACACACTGTGCTGCTCCCCGTCGGTGTAAGATTCTTAATCTGCTCAGCCCAGGCCTCTGATGGGACAAAACACACTCCCCCAGCCTTTGCCCCATCCAATGTGTCTTATGAAGAAAAGGCAAGCTGGAGTTGAGCTGGAGGTGGCTCTGGTCCCAAGAGTGAGGGTCAAGGGAGTAGGGGTCTGGGGCAGACGGACTCCAAACCACCCACCCAAAGGCCTCAATCTCACAGCACTAAGGTTCTGCATCCATGAAAAGTCTTTTCCATGTGGGGTCTGGGGAGTCAGCTGCCCATTTATAAGGCAGTACACATACAGTGTGAGAACAAAGTCACTGGGGATCAAGCAGCAAGCTCCTCAAACTTTGGATGGTACCCCACAACACATATATACACACCATCAACTTTCAGGAACTGGTATTTATTATCAAAGTCATATTCGATGTCAACAAGATGCCACAACTACAAAAAAAATTGCGCACATTGCAATCTCAATGCAAACAGTCAAATGGAACCCCAGTCATTAAAAAAGTAATCCAAATTACCCCAAAAAGCAACTGAATTTTTAAAACATCTTTATACATCCAGCCAACAAATTAAAATGGTTAACAAGAAAAAATACAAATTCAGAGGTCTAGTCTCGATGTTTAAAAAAGGCAACCACTTAAGCATTTCTATCAATTCGCACATCAATCTCTCTGCCACTCAGCTTCATCCCATTCATCATCCGGCAGGCCCGCTCAGCCACCTCGGGCGACTCGAACTTGACAACACCGCACCCCTTGGACTTTCCATTCTCCATCTTGATGTCAGCATACAGCACATGGCCTGGCACAGGGAGAGGACACCACTCAGGATGTGAGCAGAGCACAGCCCTGGGCAGAGCTCTACTCAGACCCGTCTTCTAGAAGGAAAGGCCCTGTCTCACAGCCCTTTCCCTTACCCAATTTGATGGTGTGCCATCAGAAGTCGCTCTGGTGGCTTCAAATCCACCCACCCCAAGAAGGCTAATACAAAGGGACTCTTGGGCACACGGAAGGAAGGGGGGGAGGCGATGTCTCAACTGCTTACCCCAAGAGAACTAGGGAGAAGCAATAAAAAATGGTGACATCCAAGCCACTACTGAGTAAACAGGAAATGAAACACTACCAAGGAAGCATGGACACGCCCCATCTTCCCAGGAGGCTGCCTACTGTCCCTTGTAGGCTGCTGTGGGGGGAAATCTCACCCTGGGGACCCATGAAGCGTGTAAGTATTCCAGTGCATGAGATCAACTGGCCCTGCCTTAGGTGTGTGTATTTAGCTTTGCCACTTAAAAGCCAGTGATCACAGAAATGTGACTCTGGCTCAACTCCTCTATTCGATGAAGCCAGAATGACTCCTTTCAAAAGTCCTCCCCAAGTTTGCTGTAGACGCAGCAAGAGCCCAGAAAGGCAATGATCAGGTCAAGTGTATGGAAAATTGGCTTGACCAGCTTTAGAGGCAGGAAACTGGCAAGGCCTTTCCGCTCAATGGGCAGAGGGCAGGTGTGTTTCTAGACTGGGCACAGCCAGCCACCTAGGCGTACGAAGGACATAAAGAGCCCTCATAACACTTACCACATTCGTTGAATTTGTCTTTTAGCATTTTCCATGTAAAGTCAAATGGGAGCTGAGGGAGAGAGGAGAGACTGTGTGAGATCCCACCAAACTCAAAGGGCCTCTCTCTTACGATGAATGGCTTCTCTACATGACCACCATGCAAAGTCAGACTGCAGAAAGCACAGTAATTCTATCTGGAAAGGTTTGCAGCTAGCTGGCCAAGCTCCCAGCCTTATCGGCCTGTGGAGTAGGACACCAGGAAGCAGGAACCCAGCTGCCTGAGGGAATCATCAACAGTAGAGGATGATGTGTTCTGTCCCACTGAGCCAGAACCGACCCATAGCTGACCCTGTGGCAGGTTTACAGAGCCAGTAAATCCAAGGGAGTAGACTGCCCATCTTTCTCCCGCAGAGCATCTCGTAGATTCAAACTGGATGCCTTTGGGAGGCCATCAGAGCTCACAACAGTCAATAAAGGTGGTCAATGTGGTTGATGTAGCTCATTTATTCTCAGTTATAATGCCAAAACGTTCCTCAAACCAAGGAATAAAAAAGAAGGGTTGTGGTTGACCTAGAGTGTCTGAGGGACCCATGCTCTAAGAGACACTGCTCATGGTACAACCATGTTCCAGCCACCACCAACCCCTGACTTGACCACTAAGCTCCCCTTCTGAGGCCCCTACCGCCTCCTCTTCCCCTTGTGCTTACCACAGTAAGATGTTCCTGGAAAACCACTTACGTTTCTCACAAATATCTGGCAGGCCTTCCTGGCAACTCCAGGGGCATGGCCTCCAGCCCCGCCAAAGGAACCGGCAAAGCTTCCTCCAAAGTTGCCACGCTCCATCTCAATGGCACGGTCAAAGCTGGCACCGCCGCCACCACCCATGGCCAGGCCCATGCGCTCAATGCCGGCACCCAGGGCTGGGCCCATGGCAGGACCCATGCGCTCCAGGCTGTTAGCGCCCATGCGCTCCAGGCCGATGCGCTCGAGACTGTTGGCGCCCATGCGCTCCAGGCCGATGCGCTCCAGGTTGTTGGCGCCCATGCGCTCCAGGCCAGTGGCCATACGATCCATCACAGGGCCCATGCGCTCCAGGCCAGCCCCTATGCCTGCGGGCACCATGCGCTCCATGCTTAGGCCCATGCGATCGATGGCAGGGCCCATGCGCTCCACACCAGAGCCCATTCGCTCAATGGTCTGGCCCACACGGTCGATGGGTGCGGCCATGCGCTCCAGGCCAAAGCCCATGCCAGCGCCCATGCGCTCCACACCAGAGCCGATGCGCTCCATGGTCTGGCCCATGCGCTCGATGCTGGAGGCCATGTGGTCAAGGCCCAGTGGGCCCATGCGCTCAATGCCGGAGCCCATGCGCTCCACTGAGCCCATGCGGTCCATGACCAGGCCCATGCGCTCGATCTCTGAGCCAACACGATCCATGCCGTGGCCCAGGCCTGCGCCCATGCGCTCCATGCCGGCACCCCCGATGCGGTCAATGCTGGGGCCCATTCTCTCAATTCCGGGCACACTGCCACCACCTCCACCTAGAAAAGGACCACAAAGCAGCCAGATGTCAGAAATGCACTACACTAGTTGGGACTAGGCTGTAGGGGCCTAGGCACCTGCCCACAAGCCCAATCACAGCCAAGAATTAAGTCCCACGTTAAGTGCCAACTCAGAAAGTCCTCACAGGCTAGCACAAGACTCTGAGAATAGGGGGCCTGACATCACCCTGCCACTTTTGTGCCACAGGTGCAGTTTCTGTGACAATTATTAAACCAGAACAGTCCTTAGAGATCTTGTACTGATAAGGTCCTCCAAGCTGCTTGTTCAGTGTTAGCACCAGGGACAAGTTTTATGACCAAGTCACAGACACTAAATTCTGAGACCGCTGCAATGTCCCACTCATCAGTCACCAAGAAAAGCTCTCAAGGGCTGAGGCCTGCAAAGCCCATCCTCCAATGGTCAACGGCGTGATGGAGACAATTCAAAGTCATTTCCAGTTTTTAGCCTGCTCCCACTTTATCCCTCTAACACATCCTGCTGGTGGCCAGTTGGACTGCATATCCTCAGCACTTCCAGGGCACAGAGAAGCTATTAGAAAGCCACACGAGAAAGAAGCGATGACAACAAATACCAACAGCAATTGAGGCAGTATGCAGAGAGGAAGAAAGGCAACCATACAGGGATGCTTCCTGCCAGGGAAAGCAGCTCCCTGATGCAGATGCTGCTGCCTCTGGAAGGCAGGCGTTGAGGGCTCAGTGAGAGGCCTGGGCATAGGTTCCTCACTCCCATAGCCAGGCAGGACACACACTGGCCAGCAGCACATGACTCCTGATACTTGCAACTCAGAACAGAGCAGGGTGGACACCCCCCTTCACCAAGGCCATGGCCCTGCTACTTTTTCTCAGGAGTCCCGCTGTCACTGGGACTGGGGCATGGAGCCCACTGCTAGCCCAGACCAAGATGTATATCCTTTTAAGAGGAGGAGACAGCAGTTTCTCTGCCTGACTCTCACTACTGTGGGGACCCAACAGGGCCACCCCACTTCTCTGTGCCCATGTCCTTAGCTGAGTAACAGCACACCAAGTGGCAAAAACAATCGACCCAACTGCAAAGATGTTAGGCCTTCAGAGCAGACAATTCTCAGCAATCATCTGCTATCTATATATTATAGAAGAAAAATATTAAGAGACCAAAACGGGGTGAGAAGCTCAGCCTCACAGCATCAGAAACACGACTGAAATCCAGATGCCAACTGCAGCAGAGGCCTGGGAAGAATTACTGGACAGGGGGATAAAAGTTTGAAAAATTTTACTTAGTTCTAAGCAACCTATTAAACTGTACTAATGGAAGGTTGTAACAAAATGCAACAGCATTCATCACCAGCCAGTAGGACTCCAGCTATTTTCTTCACAATAGCCTAAATATTACTGGCAATGCCATGTGCTTAATGTTTCAAAGCACTTGTTATGTACCTTTACATTAAAGTCAGGCTAAGAAAAGAGATTTACTTTACACAGAGGATATGGAAAACAAAAGAGCTCCTTAAATCATATAGGTAAGAAAACATGCTAAC